AACATTAAAGTGAGAATGGTTGTAGTCTGCAAAAGTAGCGGTAAGTTTGAGAAAGCTGAACATATATTTGAGGTTTTTGGTTTTGTCTATGTCTAAATCTTTTGTATGTTTTCATAATATTGCTGTTCAATATTAGTTCTGTTGAGAATATCTTATTATCAATGACATGTATATACATTCTTTGTCTCAACCACAATTCATGTGAGTTTTCTCAGGTAGGATTCCTGTCTGCTCTGATATGAAACATTTTTATGATGCTGGTTTCATAAGCCACATGTACAAGCTTTGAAACCAACTAATTTTGTATCTTTCTGTCTTTGAACACTTTTTGAAAACAAGTAATATGTTTGTTCTGGTCGACTTGCTTATGAATCTAGAAAACAAAAGACCGGGGAGGATCTTGAATAATGATTACTGCACACTCATTTTGGGACTTACATATTTTCACGTGCACAAAATAAAAAAAAAAAAATTGCTATTGTTGGTATGAATTGTTCCAAAGGCAACTCAGGAGGTACTGCATGTTTAATTGTTGTAAATATCACTGTGAATAATAATTTTTGTAAATTTGTTTTACTTTGAAGAACAAGAGTCTGATCCAGAAGAACACCTCAATTTAAAACTAGCTGATCTTAGCATGCTGGATTTAATATTCACATTGAATCATGGGGAAAATTAAGTGGAAAATAATTCCTGTGATCTTTGATATTTTCTGAGATTTTGGTCTTTTTTCCAGCACAACCAAACTTTATGAGTCGCATGACTCTTTCCAAGGTTTGATCGGAGTAAAACTGCACAAATATGTATGTATCGATGTCATGGTTATGGTCACGTATCTCAGTTACCAGTGAAAGACTTTTTTATAGATATGTGAGTAAGGTTATCTCTATCCTGAGATAGATGCAGTGTAGGAGGATTAATAAGAAAGGTATTGAAGAGAATCTACATATTACTAGATATCACATACAAGAGAGTTACCTGGTTCTTTTGAAGATCCCAGCCTTCATGCCAGTAAGGAAAAAATCTGTTCTCTGAGCGTGTGCAGTGGTGCAAAGGTTTTATTAATGTTCATTTCAGATGGGGCGTTCAGATGTCTGTGTGGGGTGAAGATGACAGCAAGTTATGCAAGTCCTCCCGAGGACTGTTGATAAATTCATGCCCTGCATTCTACAGATAACATGCATTTTACAGTTGGGCTCTTCTTGTAACATTTTAGAGCAGTAAGTCTTAGGATGTGAACCATGAAGAGCATTTATTTGTGACTCTCAAAGAAGCAGTGAGTTAGACCATCTCCTCTCTTTGCATGCAGCAAGCTCCAAAGTTGCGTATTTCTCCTCTACATGCACGTCTTTCTAGAATAAGAGGTGTGGTGTTGGCAGGCAGCTATGTGCCTGCGTAGCGGTACCATTGCTACACCATTGTACTTCCTGTAATATACAGAGTCTCTTTAGGGGTTATATGGTGATAAAAATTGGGGTGGATAAAGGACGGTAAAGAACACATTAGTAAGTAAAATATTTGTTGTATTCACCAGTTTCTGGGAAGTGGTGGGGCTATTTTGAAACATCCTTGGCAGAATGCTATGTTGGTACTCTGTAATGAGCCAGATGTAATATAACATGGGCTTTGCTGAATGTATGTTGATGTTTAGCAATACAGGAGCATAGTTTTCTGCAGAAACATTAAACCCTTCCCTGTGGTTTTTGTTTTGTTATAGTTGTTATCTTCTGCTCTGGATCACATGAGGAAAACTCTTCTTCACCAGATCCATCTCATGAGCTCTCTCTAAGAAGAAATGGGATGGTATCATCAGATCAGCCTTCTAGATCAGGTACCACCAGTCCTCTTCCTTAAATCATCCTTACTTCTACTTCAGAGTCTAGGCGAAGCAGAGATACTGGTTGTCACAAGCGCCCTTAACGAGAAAGCTGTGCCCGTGGGTTTCTGGCAGAGATGTAGCAAGGGCTCAGGAAGGCTGGTGTAACCTTAAGGGAATGCCTCACTTTCTTATTAAGAAAAAAAACCAAAACAGAAAACCAACCAAACAAAAAACCACTTCTCCATCGGGTATGGGGAGTTCTTGAAGCAAAAGCTAATTAATGGGGCTGCTTTCCAGCAAATAGAGAATAAGCTACTGAAGTTATTTTCGGATGGAATTTTCTTTTTCTAGGTATTGTAAAAGCCCAGTGAGCTGGACAAAATCCTTGCAAGATAAGAAGGATGAATTTGGTCTTACTGTGGTGCCAGGACAGATTGAACAAATGCCAAGTTTTATAAAGGCCTATGATAAAGGAGCCAGTTGACATCCATTTTATTTTGGTGTGGAAACTCAGGACATGAAGCTACTCCTGACATTTAGTGAAAGAGCGAGCTGTGCAGGCTAGAAAAAGCGTATCCTTTCACCACAAGAGGTAGCAAGCTGAGCTAGCCTTGCCAGGCAGAAATTCCTCATAGTACCATCTTGCAGATGGCTTCCAGTTGTTGGCAATGTGAACTTCCTTTCTGACATGTCCTGCAAATGTTCATGAGATTTCTTCAATCTAAGCTTCTTCAGAGCATTTTTTTTCTAACATCTGGAGGTATCTCCTTTGTTGATTGGAAATAGTAGAGGGATTTTTCCTTCTATTTTACATTTTTCTTTTCACTTCTGTCATATTTTGCCTTTCTGGGGACCTGCCTTTGAAGTTCCTCAGGTTCATTGGTGCTAAGCAAAACTGGATAGGAAGCATCTGTTAGTTAGGTACACAGTTGTATTAGAGGTTGCAACTTTCAGGGTTCTTTTATATTGTGATCACATGAGTGTACCCTGTTCTTTTTGGTGATTTACACTAAACAGCAACTTCTTGTTGATGGATCTTTCCTTCACAATGCAATGCAAATGATCCATTGCAAGAAAGCTCAGAGGCTTTTTTTTTTTTTTTTAAACCGAATGTCATCAGCTTCCCTGCTCTATTTTAGACTCTTCTTCCAGGCATTCTCAGGCTTCTCTCGGGCCTTAAGCTGCAGCAGGATGGCTTTATACAGCCAGGAGAGTATAGGAATTCGGTGCTTTTGAAGGAGAACATTGTGCTCGCTTATCTGAGCTGAGTAACAAAGCAGTACACAGCATGTAGTGCTTTGTGTTGTGAGGCACATTCCAAGGATTAAGTCTGCATTGCTGTAGTTCTTTCTACTGCAAGTGGAGGTGTTAATAAGACTTATGAAATAACTTTGTCATAAATATTAGTTTCCAGTAACCCTCTATTTAAAAAGGAAAGGAATTTTTTCTTTCCCAAGCTCTCACTTTGCTTTCTTACACTGTCATACTGTCATGAGAGTAATTCCTTTCTGGGTTTTATGACCAACTAGATTTTACCTGATACAAATATTATTACTATTGACAGTAAGTCTGTGGGTACTGAGTTAATCTGTCAAACTTTAAAGAATTTGAAACAGTACAACAGATCTATATTAGGTCTCTGCTTTTCTGCTTTGTCTCATATCGCCAGCGAGATTTTGATCTGCTATTGAGAGCCCTAGAGCTGTTTTACTGGATCATCAAACCGAAGCTTGAAGCTATATACAGACATCTTTCCCTTCCCAGTTCTGCTGCTTGTGATTTCTGTTTAAAAGTGATGGGCTGAACAGTGCAGGAGACGTTTGCTAACCTGTGTCAGCTTGGTGAGATGGGCTGGGAAGACTATTGAGGTGATGGCTTAGCTGGTAGGGTGAGAGAGGCAATAACTTCCAGCCGCGAGCAGGCAATGCTGTACAGCTGCAACTGGAAGAGGATGTGCGTTCAGGCCAGAGTCACAGCCTGTACCAAGCCTCAGTGATATGCAACCCCACAAAATCCTGTGTTTCTCTTACCTCTGCACACTGGGTGAAGTTTTTTAAAAATGTAGTTACAATTAACTTCAAAAATTGGGAAAACTTATCTACAGCGCTGAAAAGGTATTTTTTTCCCCTTGACTAAAAGGGTACTTCCGTTACAGTTTTCACTAGAAGTTTAGGTGAAGTATGGCCAATCTCCTGGAGGTTTTTATGTTTTGAATTCTGCCTGCCTGCGTTGCCTGTGCAGCCACCTGTCCTTGTTCTGTCACTGGCTTCAATTCTGTTCTTTAGACCTATCTGTTCTCTACCAAAGGGAAAACAGTGTCATTCATGTTTGCAAGGTCTGAATACTGCCTGAATGTCAGGATCCCAGATACAAATGTTTAGTCTCTTACTATTTCTGCATATGGCCTGGGGGTCCTCCAGTTATTACTGGGATATTATTATTACTACTGAAAATAAATATCACACAAGTTAATATCAGCCTACCGTATCTATTCAGCCCTATTCTCTGTGGGAGAGCTTTGTGCAACTAATACCCCTTCAGGGAGCTTATATTAGATTGATGAGAGAGCAGTGAATTACTTCTTGTCTGGTTCATAATATGCTGATTATAAAAAAAAAAAAAAAAAAAATTCTGGCCAGGATGGTCTAGCGTTCTCAGTGTTGCAAATGGACTCTGGAGTTTGTTAGGAGGCATTCTTGCCTGTTCTGCTGGAGGAGACCAAAACATATTTTAAAAAAAAAAAAAAAAAAAGTAAAGCTTGCCTTGCTCAGCTGTTCTTTTGAGCTCTTCCTACTGCTGAGAGAGGGTTAACCTCAGAGTTTCTCATGTCCTTATCTGCCAAAATGCTAAATCCATACAGTTTCAATACCATTGCTGCACTGGGAATTATTCAGGATTTTATGTACATATGGGCCAGATTTTCCACTGATGTAAATTCACGTAGCACTGGTGGGAGGATGCTGATTTACACCTGCCAAGATTTTACAGGGTTGTTTTTCCTTCTGGAATGTTCCTTCGCCCACCCTGAGGGAGACTCTCTGATGTGATTGCACAAGACAAATTTTCTTTTTACCTTTCAACTCTTCCATTTTTTGGAAGAGGTGGCCCCCTACACTGGAAATCTACTCATTCAAGTCCCAGTCGGACCCCTGTCTTTGAACTGGGGAAGGCACCACTCAATAAAACCTTCGGTTTCTCGTAACAGAAACCTCATGCATCATCGGCTCAAGCTGCTCCTGGGTGATGTCTACAGATGGTTTTGGAAAAGCAGACTGGGTGTTATCTTCAGTTGGTGTCCTGGTGTCTCAGGAGAGGCAGCAGCTGCTTCTGGAGAACAGCTCCTCTAGCGGAGATGTTGAAGGTAGGCAGAATTACTGTTCCCTCCCTGGAAAAGACATCTGCTTTCCCCCAGCACTGGTAGTAGCCTTGAGGGAGGTGGCAACAGGAGTCGGTCGCATGTCAGTGACAATACTGCCATATGCTGGTTCTGGTGCACGACTCGTTGGTGCAGTGTCTCTGCCCAAGAGAATCGGTCACTAAGAACCATATATAATGCATATGTTCTATATGAGAACTGCTTGGGTTGTGCATGTGTGTACCACACATACAGCCAGACCCTTTATATACTTCCTTTGCATCTACTTCAACATAAGCTACTTTTGCCTGCAGAGACTGGGTATTTCTTAGGAAACTCAGTCCTTTACACGACAGGGCTGCTTCCTCATGTTTGCTGTCTGATTTGCAAAGTCTTTCGCTTGTGTTTTGCTGAATGTGCCTTCACTGCTTTGTTTTGTTTTTTTCTCTCCTCATTCCTTCCATCGCTCATCACTTCTTATTTCCTTCATTTTTACTTTATTCTCTTTTCTCTTCTTTCTGTTATTTTTACTTTTTTGTGCATGTTCCTCTCCTTTCTTCTGTTCTGAACCCAAACTTATCCATTTTCCTCTTATAATCTCTCCTCCATCTGCACTGTCTGTCTCTCTTTTTTTTTTTTTCTTTTTTTTTTTCTCTCTCACAGGGGACATTTTCCTCCTGAACACCAGTAGGCTCCCAGACAGATGTGAGTTCAGCCTGCATAGCCCCATCCTGCCTGGGAGCTTGGACTCTTGCTTGCTGGAACTGGCGATATATTCACAGGATGCTGTTCCTCTCCTCCAGAGGTTCACAGTTGAAATCACACATGTGGAGACAAACAGAAATATGATAATTCCTCTGAGAGTTGGCCATGAGGAAGATGCCAGGTAAGACAATCAATTTGTAGCTGTTTAGTTTGAACTGCAGGGTAGGATGGAGTCCCTTCAGGCTACGGTTTATCCATATCTTCTCCCTTCTTGAGATCATTGCTTCTATTACACCAGAAAAAGAAGGAAGGGCTGTGAGAACCAAAACGTGCAACTCCCTAACAGGATGTCTGTAGCAGACTCAGGTTTTGTGTGTCCCCTTCACAAGGAACACACTTGATTAGGAGTCATTCTTCTTTCTTCACATTAGACAGGGTCAAGAGTGATTGACTCTCTCACTGATGCTAGGATTATAGATCTAAAATACAGTCAGCCCAAAGACTGCCTTGTCTAAGTATTCAGTGCATACTATCAGAGTTACAAGGGTCCCATTTCTCATTTTGAGGAAGGGTTAATTTTGCCTCTTGTGAATTTCTTCCTCCTAGTGTCTGCAAAGTTCAGGAACATTCACTTTTGGTTCATTTGCAGAGTTCAGGGAGGGGAAGAACAGAGGCTAGAGGCAAGAAGAAGTGAAAAAAGGAAAAAAAAGTGCAGCAACCCTAGACCTGTCCTGCATTTTCTTCTCTTTGATCACCCCCATGTTTCACTTTCTCATTCCAGCCGATAGCAGAAGGCAGTGAGAAGGGAAATGGGCAAAGAAAATGGCTTAACAACAGAAGAAGGAGAAAAATCCACGTGACATCTGATTTTGCCATTTTCTTTGTGCTTGTTTTTCCTTGCAGCAATCTGCCTCCTAAGAACCTGAATCAGGGCTTTTTGTTTCCATCACCTGACTGACTCCCATGGAGAATTTAAGCAATAGATCCCCATTCTTGTTTTCTTTGAATTCCTTGGCACTTCCCAGGCTGCCATGGGAGCCGTGTAGCCAAGACTGCTGGTCAGCCCAAGATAGCAGAGTTTGACTAAAACAACGTATTTATTTCCTTTCAGATTCCTCTCTCTCCTGCTTTTAGCTTTTGCTCACTGACTTCCTGGCTACTCTTTCTCCCTTCTTCTTGCCACTTTCACAAGGAATCTGTTGCCTTTTCCAGGGTCAATTTCTAATGTCCTCTTTCATACCTATAACCTTGCTGCTTTTCGTATTTGACCAGCCTCTGCTGGCATAAGCAGCTAAAGCCCACAGCTCCATTCCCATGTATTAATTTATGTAATGCCCTTCTGATGTACCTGCCTTCCCAGAACAGGCACCATCACCATCACTGCAGTGTCTCTAGAATGAATCATAGATGTGGTTAAACAGCTTATTTGAGCACTGTAAAACAATTCTGCATGAAACTAAGATCATCTCTCTTTAAACGTGGTGGCATTTAGATATATTAGAATGGAGTTAGCGCCACTGGAAGTTGGCATAGGCCTTGGTATTATTTTTTCCTAGTGAGTGAAATGAAGCACTGATAAGCCCAGATGCTTTAGTTTTAAGGACTTAAAGAAGGAAGGTGACTGAGTCCTGTTTTAAATCAAGATAGAAAGGAGGGGAAGGAGTAAAGATGGAATAGGGTTAGGAAGCCTTTTAGGTCAAATAGTCTTCCTTTTCTCCCCTCTTTTACAGGGAAACTCTGTAAAATCTCTGCACAATTCCAGGAAAATCTGACTGTGCGGGCAGAAGAAAATTTACTTTTACACAGTGACTGAGCTGCTTCCTACTAGACAGATGGTCAAAGATGAACATTCTCCCCTGATTAAGATTTTAACAATTCTGGTTGTCAAGAATAGATACTATCCTGAAGCGTTCCAGCTTTCCAGTGGCTTTCCAGATGGAGTGGGAGTTCTGCAAGCTTTTGTGTGTTGACAAAACACTGCTGCACAACTAGGAGTGAAACAAGGAGGACAATGAGCAAATGGCCTTGAGGCAGATGCCTGTGTGTAGTACCAAGTTTAATCTCTGATGATTACTGTGACTCTTGAGGTCAGAGTAGATACTTAACTACAGAAAAAAGCTTGAGTGTCACTTCTTCAGATAATGAGGCACTCCAGAAAACCCTGCTTCAGTCCCTTCTACCACCCCTTAATCCCACGATCAAGCTGTATACTTCATCATAAAATCCAGCCGCACCAGACCACTTCAGTGAACTCTCCTCTTTCTAGAGGATCCTCTTTTCTGGAGATCTTCTGATCTTGTTTCCATCTTCAGGATCTGTCAGCCACACAGTTTCCAAAAGCTTAGATGTGTGTCATGAGAGAAAGTTACTCTCCTGTCCACGTCACTGACAGCTGGGATTTATCATCAAATCTGTAGTATTGAAGCTGCCACTCATTTTCTCATGCACGCACTTTAGGCACAGACAAAGACAGAAACAGCTGAACCTCTAGGCACTGAGTCCTCTGGACAAGTAGGGCAAAGGCATATTGTTCTATTGTTATTGTATACCCCCCAGTGTGAGTATTCTGAGTTACTACCATTAGAGAGAGAACTGCTCAGGGAGTGAGATGTTTGGAATTCTGTATGTTTACAAAAATATATATAAAAACTATGTATCCCATGATCTGAGAGAGCTCAAACATCAGCAACCTGTAGCTTTGCTTGAAAGTCCAAGGCCTTTTTATCGCTCAGAAAGCTGTCTTCAGTTTTTCAGGGTTACAGTTAATGGTTCTTGCTCAGGCCATGTCTGTTGTCTTTCTGACTATTTCGCTTATCCCACCTTTTCCCCTCTTTACCACACAGAGCTAAAAGCAGCCACAGCTGAAAATTCTTCAGAGTTCTGTGTGGTTTTGTTCTGAATAGTTTCATTTGCTTGTTTGTTGTTGGCTACAATTATTTCAGGAAGAATTCTATTTCTTACAACTGTAAGTGCACACGCTCCAATGAAAATGAGAAAACATCACTTGGTACAAGGGTAATCTTTGCCCCTTCCATGACAAAGGGGTGCTCAATAAGCCAGGTTTATTTTGTTCTGTTTTCCTTCTGAAGTATAAGACATTGGCCATGGTTCTCTTGGCCAAAAAGCAACAAGTTCAAGGCTAAGTTCATGGATGGGTGATCAGTTAGCCAACTGCACACAAAAGGATTGTTGCTTAATTTTTCCTGTCTTCCCCTCGGAGAGGGCTGGGGGCGCACTAAAATGCCCTGCCAACTTCCGAGAGACTTGTAGAAACTTACCATCTTTCAGAGTTCCTCTCTGCTATCAATTCTGGTTTTTATTGTCCACAAGAGTTATTTAACTTCTGCTATGGATCATACATGGAAGCATTGCCGTATAGCTGATCTGAACATCTAGAAAAATCTAAAGTTGTTTGGGATTAATAAATCAGATGTCCTAGAACATAAGCCTTTGAAAGAGAGTGGTCTGGTAAGTGGCCTCAGAAAATGCCTGATACATACTGAGAACAATGAGCACAGCCACTTTGATTTAAAAAATGCAGCTAGAAAAGGAGAAGCTGTCTAGCTGTCATATAAGACTAGCATTTTGAATGCTAATCTGGCAGTATGAATTACTGCCCCTCATGCTTCTGTCAGAACTGCACCCAAAAATGTGCTGGCCGTAGGAGGAAAGATCTTGACTCTCTAACCGGTTGGTGAGGGCAAGACGGGAGACATATCTTCCTCTCTCTGGTCTATTTCTAAGTCCAAAGGCTAGAACTGCATGCTTGTGAAGACTTGGAGCAAACAACTTCCTATACATATAACAAGTAATGTCTTCGAATTTGTATGTTCACTAACTGAACCTACAGTCATTTAGCATACCTTTCTGTAATAATCTGTGCAGTGAATCCCCCCAACTCAGAAAAGTTTTCAGTTTTCCTGTTCAATTTTATTTTGTCATTCTTAATGAAGAAACTTGTTGATATTAAAATAGTCTTTCTTAAAATTCATGATCACTTCCCTTTGTTGGAGACAGAAAGGCATTGCATGGAAAAGAATGGTAAGGAGCGGGGAAGGCTTTTGTTTAGCAGGGGAGATCAAGAGGCTAATCTTAAAATAAAAATCAAAAGTTAAAATCACAGGTTTGCACAGTCAATCTTGAATTCTCTTGCATTAAGCATCAGGTTGCTTGCAACTCCAGACTTTCTAGAAGTTTCTCATAATGGTGTGAGACTCTAGCAGCCTCATCATACGTACAGAGCAGTTTTAACATCTGAATTTAAAAGAAGAGTAATATTACCTCATTAATTGAGATCTGGCTTGACATAAAATCAATAGTAAGGGTATTGCCAAGCCATGCTTTTCTGAAAGCCTGCTACAGTGATCCATCTTCTGCTAGATCGACCATGGGCTTCGTTCCTCATTCCATTAAGAAAATTAAATTGGCTCTGACTAGCCTCTGTTTGGATACTGGGAACAAGCAAAGAAGGTGCATTATTTACAGCATTAGAAAACTTGCTGCAGTTGGATCTTAGGTTGGAGGGTGTCTCTGAGAGGAAATACCTGGCTGGTTATGAGAATTTGTACATCAAAGTATTGTGTATCATGCAAAGCCGCTTGTCATTTTTGTGAACTCTGGGTGCTTGCCAAATTTTCCTGTGGTGGTATGAATGGAGTCAAATTTGAATATCAGACATCTTTTAGTGCGGTCCTGCAATGTTTCGTGGGACCTAAGAGCTCTGACTCAAAAGAGCTGCCAGTTCACACATGGTGGTTTAAGATATTAGCCATGCTCTTCTACTAGAAGCCACAGTTCTCCACTCTTCTCTCTCTTCTCTTCTCTTCTCTCTCTTCTTTCTTCTCTTCTCTCTCACAGTAAAGGTGCTGTAATGGACAATATGTCTCTTTCTCAGCTGTAACATTTCAGAGGTTTATTTTGATATTTATTTTGATATACCAAGCTTAAAACTGAAACATCTGAAATATCCGGCCCATAAACCATTTAGGATTAAGGTGAAGCAGCTGAACAGGTCATTGTTTGCAGCTGTGGGGCAGTAATTGCTTTAGTCACTACTATTAAGTCTAACAGAGGCTGTGAATTGGAGGCTGAGTGCTAAAGGTTCCTGCCCTCAGGGGTCTGATAACCTTGGTGATGCAGTGATGTCTCATCTGGGAGGTAGGCTGTAGCTTGGTGGAGGTAGTAGAACTATAGCTCAGTGTTTGGAAGATCTAGTATGCTTAATAGGTAAATTCAAAAGATTTTAAGGCTCTCTATATCCTCAGTGGCTCACTGAACCATCAACGATCTCATCAACGTGTATAAGTATCTGAAGGGAGGGTGTCAAGAGGATGAGGCCAGTCTTTTCTCCGTGGTGCCCAGCAACAGGACAAGAGGCAACGGGCAGAAACTGAACCACAGGAAGTTCCACCTAAACCTGAGGAAAAACTTTACTGTGAGGGTGACAGAGCATTGGAACAGGTTGCCCCGAGAGGTAGCGGAGTCTCCTTCCCTGGAGATATTCCAAACCCGCCTGGATGCGATCCTGGGAAATATGCTCTAGAGGGCCCTGCTTGAGCAGGGAGGGTGGACTAGATGATCTCCAGAGGTCCCTTCCAACTCAACCATTCTGTGATTTTTGTGGCCAACGGAATGCAATGCTGAGTAATGCAACAGAAGTGTGGGGGCTGTGGGTCAGTGCTGAATGGTCTTGGACCATTCACAGCAGGGCAGAGAGACTGTGCTTGTACGTGTCTCAGTGCTGAAGATTCCAGAAGCTGCACTGAAATACAAAATGGAAGCAGAGCAGTCATTCTGCTTTGCTGGATAGTAGAGCTAATGCAGTTGTGGTTCAGGTCTGGCGATTTCTGAAGCTGAATTAAATTATATTGAAATATTGAATATGATACGATGGGACGGGAAGCATGGGAAGTAGGGTCATCTTGATAAGAGATGGCTCAGCTTCAGCTGAGTCTATGGTGTCTGTGGGTTTTTGCGCATGAGTGCAAGACTGAAAGTGGAAGATGGAGGGGAGGCCATGGGAAAGGATAGTAATAAGCTCTCACCAGAAAAAGGCAATATGGTTGGTTTGTGGCAAGAAGAATGAAATAGGTGGATAATCAGTGGCAAGTGAAAGTGGAGAAGGTGATTAACAATCTAAGTTACCTTTAGTTTTTTGCAGGTTGCAGATTAGGTGGTCTGTGCTTTTCACATTGTGTCTAGTAGACATCCGTTTGTCCTCTAGGAGTTGCCTTGTAATCTGTTCCTGGTGCTGGAGAAGCAAATATGGTCATTGCATGGCAGCTGAAGGCGTTTCCCAAAGGAAAAAGTACTACTAGGAGCAGAGCCGTAGCAACACATCTTGACACTGTGGCCTGGCCTCCTGCCAGCTGCTACTGTCTCCTCCTCACCCCACTGGCATTGGCTCAGAGTCACTTGTTCAGGGTGTCAGCAGCAACATCAGCAATGTATGGGATTCAGACAAATTTATCTGTGTCTGGCATCCTTTTCAGAAGAGAGCTCAGAGCAGGGATTCCTCTGTTCTTATAAGATAATCACATAGACTATCAACTGTCTTTTATTGCCCTGTTCACATGAGATGGAAGGACACTTTTAAAAAATACTGTTAGTAATCCTGTGGGATTTGTTTTTAATGACAGCTGGATACCCTGACTCCCATCAGACCAATTCGAGTGAGGTGCTTTGAGAATTCCTATTTGGTATTTCTCTGTAGCTTTTGATGCCTAACTGTCTTTAAAATTAGAGTCCGTGGGGCCGTCTGTCTTTCTCTGAACTTCCAGAAGTGTTGCACAGTTTAAAAACCTTTGCTCTCTAGGGGTTATGGCATTTGTTTTATGGCAAAATGTAAATTCGCAGAGCAATCAGTGTTTTTTGGAACACCACTTCTCTTGTTCCCCTTGCTTTGTGGGTGCCTTCTTGCTTTTTAAACTAGAAGATCAGACTGAGAATGCACAGAAAAGGGTTCTTGGAGTTTATGCAACCAAGAAGCCCTCGTGGCCAGTCATTTACTGGCTGCTCCTTGCAGAACATAAAACATCAGTGTTTGTTTGAGGAGATCGAGGTCTTGTGCAACTGCTTGGTTGAACTGTACTTACATGGTTGTGTTCTGTTTGCTTGTGCATGTGGAAGGCACACATTGGGGATGAGGAGGTTGTCCAAAAATGGTGATAATTTCAGCACCGTTTTGACTGGAGAATCCTTGAGAATGATTGGCTGTTTTCATCATCAGGAGCAGAAACAGGATCGGCAGCATAAAAAACTCAACGTGAACTTTGTCCGACTGAACATCACTTGTTTTCTGTGAACAACTGTTTGTTATGCTGGAGTTTACATTCATCAGGCTATCCCCATGTGAATGCTATCACTTCTGTTTGATACAGTACAGAATTTTAACGCAGAGACCCTGTGGACTCCACTGTGCTCTGTGCATGTCTGATAGCTCTTTGTCTCCTAGGATGAAAAGGAAATCACTGATGGCCCAGATTGGCCGAACAGAAAGACCTTTTAAAATCACCTTGCTGTATTCAAGCTGTGGAGCACAAGAGACTGGACTATTGGCAGTGGGCTCTTTGCAGCTCAGGAATTGCTTTCATGGTATGTTCCAATATAGTCAGGTTTGGAATAACCAAATGCAGTTGAAAAAGCGAGCATCGTCTTCACCAAAATTGATAACTCTGATCTGGGAGTAAGCTGGATGGGAAATAAATAATAGCTGAATTACCCCCAGGGTTTCTGGCAGTGCTTTACCTATCAAGGGTCATATTTGCATGTGTTTCATGTATGTAAACACATGTGCATGTGCTCTGAAGGCAGGGTTGAAGTTCAGAATTATAAAATTGACTTCAGTAATCCACTCTGCTTTTCAGGTTTGCTTTGCATAGTCTTTGGATGAGAAAACAACAGGGTTTACGGTGCATCCAGCAGCAGGGATGGAGAAAAGTAATTATCTAGATTATTTTAACATTTGTTATTTTTCGTTCTTAAATAATAAAATCCTTCCCAGTGTCACCCAAGCGTTTTCTATGCTGTGGTTCCGTGGTCCAGATCTATAAAGAAAAGAAACACTGGTCTGTACTCTGTGGAGTCTGCTTGTTACTGCCAGGCTGGGAACTTCTGTCTAAAGTTAGAGTAATTAGAATGTAATTATTTTCACTGAAGTACTGAGTGCTCAGCTTGGAAATACTCAGTTTTACCAGGCATTTACAGCCCTGTTGCCAATTTCATGCAAATCGTCCTCATTACCTGTGCAGAACCCTGCTGATGTCATTTAGACTCCTTGGAAGTCTGTTGGCACAGGCAGCCTGCAGGTTAGAGACGTAATCATCTTCACTTCCTGGTTTTCATGCATTAATATAATGCTGTTACTTCTGTTTTGCAGACAGTGTGGAAAAGCTTTGAATGTAAATGTATCCAAGAGATACTGGTTTAACAGAGCTGTTTCATAACGTAGCATGAAACCATTTTTGATCATATTAGAGGTTTAATTCTATTGTAGTCATTAATTTTTTTTAACAGATGGTATATTTTTAATGCAATGTTTTTGACAGTCACAGAGTTTTTGAGGGCTTGTATACGGCTTGAAATGCTGTACTAACTACTCTCAAATGGTCCCTAAATAAGGTGATACGTGTATGCAGCACAACACAGTGCCACGGAGAGATACTGTATTGGACCACGTACTTGGATTTCTGCAGATATGTCCTTTTCTTTGCCTTCTGGAATTGGTTACTGAATTTGTGCATTTTTTCCAGAGCAGTAACAGTCCCAGTGGAACTTCTGTGCAGAGCTCTGCTAATGGGGTGGAGGTCTAGAAGTCCTAGGCATGTTCACTCTATACACACAGATCCACAGGACAGGCTGGGTCCATTAGGAGTGATGATTTCAGGAAATATCAGACTTACAAATTGTGTACAAACCAGTTGCTGGGTACCTGTGCAGTAGAGTCAACTGCTTCTGCAGTACAGCTGACTATACTAATTAGGGTGCGTTAAGTGAAGTTCCTGCACAGAAAGCCAACCTGCAAGGAAAGCAGCCCACTTAATGGGCTCGATTCCACAGAGCCAGCATAGAAATGTTCCAGCAGCATAGGTATTAGTTATCCCTGACTCTCAATAGGTTATAACGATGTGTCTGTTGGGACCAGAGCTAAGGGGTGCCTCTGCCTCTTGCAATAGAGTGTCATGCAACATGCCCTAGCTGCCTGATGGGTACGCAGTCACATGTGCAAAACTGAAGAGCATACCGTGGTAGGAAACTTTGGGGTTCTTAGCCAAGAAAAAGCTGATTATATAAAGACAGCACAAAGGCAGCAGAGAACAGTGGGTGAGAGAAATAAATGAGCAATAAATTTTGTCTCCATGAAAGCTGAGGTGATATGCAGGAACCTCATGCTGGAGAGAAACCTTCATAGTAAATAGTCAAGATAAGGATCACTTATCACCCCAGTAACACTTTCTGAGGTCGTACACATGAAGGCTAGAGACTCATCTCAGCCAAAACCCTGCTGTAGACCTGCTGATGCCTCACCTCTGGCCTTTTTTCTGTTTTTCCCTTTAGATAAAGACAACCAAGATCTTTCTATATATGACAAAGGCTCCACCTTCCCATGCCTTCTCGGGGGCTGTGTCAGCCACTTGCAAGTCTGTGAATTCATCAGCGACTGCCCTGCCAAAGAACAGGAAGGGGTGAGGTGTGGTGAGTATGTAGCATGCCACTTCATGGGAATATTCATCCCATCGGGAGAATTAATTTAGAATGAAAAATAGGTTAAATTGATTCCATCTCTAGATGAAATCAGTTTTTTTGCCTCCCAAGTTAATTTAGCCTATGTATGTAAATTGAGTATCAAGATTCTTCGAAAATTCACCCTCTATAGGATAATATGGATTTGGGACTTCTGATGTGTTTGTTTTTTTTTTTTTTTTAAATACTGCAGTACTGAGGTCAATGGCCTGCCTTTCGTAATTACTGCTGTTTCAGAGAAAGGCAAAACCTTGTTTATACATCTGCAGCTGGGTGAGGAATTCCTTCTGAACCTGCCTGCAGGTAAAGGCACTGATCATCATTCTAGTGCCACCTCCAACATGATCAGTCATAAATCTGTCCTTCCAAGATCCCAGTTCAGAGCTCATGTTGCATGTCATGATAGAAAAAAATCTCCTGATTAAGCAGAAGTGGTGCTAAGAAGCATCTTTTAGCTTTATTGCAAGTACAGTGGCAGAGATGTAAAATAGTCTGTCAATAGTCAATCTTTTAATTGGGCATAGAAACCCTTGTGATGTCTGCAATTTCATGTACAGCAATGGCATTTACAAACGTATGGCACTGATTTACCGCTCTGGAGAGCGTGGGAGGTGTTCTTCGGTATCTAGAGCAGGACAGAACTGCAAGGTCTCTAATATTTCCAGATGCAAGTAGTGTTGACTTTTTGATGATGACTCCATGGAAATAAACAAATGAGACCTGATAATATTTTGTCATTGAAAGACTGTGTGGCCTAAGTTGTGTAACTTAGGGAACCACAATGAGTTTTGACTTCTGCTGCTGTTTGTTTTCTTCCATAATCAAATTTCTTCTACTTCCTTAGTTTTTCATATTATCCCTTTCAGACAGACTCCCGGAGGGCTCACATTGCTCTTTTGAAGAAGGTCCTTGTGGCTGGACACTGAATGGCACTGCAGCATCCACCTGGTCTATTAGGGGCTTTACCAAAACAGTTCAAGAAGCCTCATTAATAGGTTCTACCTTGCAAGCCACTGAAGGTTGGTTTCTCATCGTTCTCTCTGACTGTGTGTGCATTTGTGTATGTATAATAGCCTCAACCCTAATTTTTTAAAATTCATTGAAAGTTCTTGGCATCTCCATTGCCAAATCAACTTTAGCATCAGTGTTATCTAGACAAATTCATAAACATAGACAAAGTTAACTTCTGAGCATAAGTCAAAGCCTTATTGGAACAAGTTCAGCAGCAAAGTTAACGCAAAATTGAGGCAGGCTAGGATTTGTCTTCAGTTTTAACAGGAATTATATTATGAATTCTTTTGTCTCTATATATACCTCTTCCCACCCTCTTCCTCTTATGAGCTGTGCAACTGTAGAGTGCTTCAGCAGCTGCATGACAGCTGCTGCCTCACAAAGTAGAAATTCCCCAACAGAACTAAGCAGCTTATAGAAGCACATATCTTTTGGAGACCTCTTCCAGACTCCACCAGTGGGTTCACACTTAAGTATATCCCAAGGCCAAATGTTCATGCATGTTTTGTGCCGTAGGAAACTACAATAAAGAGTCAGATTCAATTCTCATAATGCTAGCTAGCTTGGTAGATAAGAAAGAGGGAGGCTCTTTTATGTACAGGCTTAAAGTCAGAAATGTTCAGCGCAGCATGTCTTGGCTCACAGTTCCCTGCTGAAATGAAGGGTGTCTATATGAGTGTCCTTTTTGTGTCTTGAGAACTTGTATAAACTGTTCCTGGGAACAAAGACTACAAATAAGCTCTTCCAGCCCACGATTTGTCTGATCAATTTGTTTTTGATGCTTATGGTGTAAGAATTATGGCTGAAGAGGGAACTCACTATAGATTGCTGTGATCCCTTGTATTTGGATGCGATAGCTGAGGTTTGTGCACTCGTGTTTCAAGAACGGGTTTGGGATGTTGGCCTTTATGCTGCTAATATCCACTTTCCTTCAGTATTTATTATATCCAGGTTAACTACCTCAATGGTGGATCTGCTATCAAGCCCTAAAGTAGTTTCCACTACATCTTCTTACTTGCATTGTGCTTCAGCACAATGATAATTTATGTCAAGAAAGTATAGAAAAGGGAAACATTAGACAGATTTCTTTGACAAGTTCCTCCTGGGATCAGGTGTTCATGAATCAATATACGTGTTCAGCAAGTGAACATCTAGCAGCAGACATTTCTTGTTGGCAGAATGAGCATGAATCTTGTCTTTCCTGATTCACTTTTTTGCTTGCAGGACACTTCCTCTACCTGCGAGCAGACAGCAGTCAGACTAATGGTATGGCCAAGGCTTACAGTACCAGCTTGCCAGCCAGTATTGCCACTGAAGGCTACCAGGTAAATCACTCTGTCTTAGTATCTCTGTGAAGCAGATCCTCAGGCTGTGGGCACTCTCTGCACAGTATGCCCATTCTGCCTGTGCCTCTGCATGCTGTACAAAACAGTGGAAAGCAGAAGAGCTGACTGTACTTCCCAGCTAGCTGAATGTTGAACACCAGAAAGGAGACATGAGGTGCTACCTTAGTAAGAGAAAGGAGGAGCCCCAAATCTACTCCCAGGTGTGGGTATATTCCCCAGCCTAGCTGTACTGACCCTTCCTCTGAAGGGTACCCAGACCTTGGTTTGTAGGAAAGGGAGTTGCCCACCCGGGCTGTTGATCCATTCCGTATACCTGCTGCTGAGACTTTTGCTCCTAAATTCTGCTGCAGGTTAGTGGCAGTTAACAAACTTGAGAGCTTCACTGAGAACAGGAGCATGAAGTTAATGGGGCATCAGACTTTCCAGGAATAGATGAATATCAACTTTTGCTCACATTCTTCTAAAATCTCAAGTGGTGAGGGTAGCTAGGTGTGGTAAGATCATGTATCCTGCTTTCAGCCCAGATCTCTATAAAGAATAAGGGGAGGACTGGGATGCTGGAGTTAGTGGTGAGGGTAGCTAGGTGTGGTAAGATCATGTATCCTGCTTTCAGCCCAGATCTCTATAAAGAATAAGGGGAGGACTGGGATGCTGGAGTTAAAAAAAAAAAACAAAAAAAAAACAACAAAAAAAAACCAAACAAGACATTAAATAAAATTGCACTCAACAGCACTTAGGAAAATTAGTGCCCTTGGAGTTGTACCCTGCAGAGTGCCTGGGTAGACACTGAGCCACGTCAGTGTAACACACTGACCTGGGTGGTTGCAATGGGAAATCTTAAGAGATGTGGTTCAAACCCTTTCCCATGAATCTTTAAGCTGGTGAGAACACTGAGGAAGAATGTATTTGGTATTGTTTTTCTAAAATGTGTGACTAATAGAAGCATTTAGTGATAAAGAGGTTCTTGAGTAAAGCCTACTTTACTGCCTGTTCCTGAAGGACATAAAAAAGGCAACTGGCACTCCCTCACCCAGATGGTGTCTGCCACAATGAACGTAGTCATTAGTGCCTGCAGATCGGCTGTCCAACATGAATGTCAATTCAGGTCTCCACCAAGAAAATTCTGTACTGTGAGCAGCGGTGAGTCATGCGCAAACACTGAGGGAACTAGGGGCATGTGCGCTTAAACAGATTGACTCAGCATCAAAGGTCTGATGTCTCAGATCCCCAAGGAGAGAAGTCCAGAATGCCATTGCCTTTTTATCAGAAGATATCCTCCTTTTTCTGTTCTTCCTCTATTATAGGTCCAATTCTCAGTGCATGTTTTTGGCAGCTACAACGGTACCATCTCCTTCTCTGTCAGGGAAGAGACAAAGGGAGCCCCAACCACCTTGCAGATGTGGGAAAGAGCAGGGAGCTGGAGCGACCACTGGTTTCTCATCACTTTACCAATGCCAGTGCTTCGGAACTGGTGAGAGCCCCACTGACAGCATCCAGGAATGTTGCTGGAAGTCTAGTAAACTGTTAATGTCTTTGTTGTGAAGTATTGCTTTTATTCTTGCCTTCTTCAAGTGCCATTTCTAATGAAAAAATTACAGGAGTACAGCAATTCAGCTTGCTGAGGAAGTCTTGTTTCGCTTTGCACATCTTCAGGCACATACCTAGCTTAGGTCAGCACAAGACCACAGTGTGTGTCTGCACTCACGTGCAGGCGCAGTGTTTAGGTACTGGGAATAACAAGTGTCTACACTAGAAACGTTTTACCAGTGGGAGAAAACCAGTATACTCACAATGGCAAAGGGCTCCCAGTAAGGACACAGCCATACTAGCAAAGCTGCCCTTTGTAGTCCTACAGTAAAAACAGCCCTGAGAGTCAAATAAATGATTGTGGTAAAACCACAGTTTAGCCAATACATCTGTCTATGCTACGGGCTATATCGGTGCAGCCTGGGCAGTCGGAAATCATTCATTGCCACATCACTGACGCAACATTCTCAGCAAAAGACTGTGGCCCAAATCAGTCTTGCAGAAAAGTGTGTTTCACAGTCATGGATGTGAAAATACAGAGTGACGTTGGCTTTCTAAAACAAGCCAAATATTGAAGATTCCAAGAATTTCAGCTGAATCTATTTTTAATCAGATATTTCTCTTCCCCTGCCTGGTGTCAGTTGATCTCAAGCCCTGTAAACTGTATTGGCAGCTGGGTTTTTTTGCACCACACAAGTGATTTTTTTCAATTGCTCCATTCTGCTTTTTGCTTCTTTCTCAGGAGAGCCTCTCTCCCATGACACTTCTAACAAAAAAAAAAAAAAAACCCTCAGAGTCTATTCAGTGTATATTATAAATGGGAAAAGATCTGCCTAATATTTGCAATAAATAGTATATTGAAACTTCATGGATTAGAAGGTGTGAGGGGATTCCTTTTAACCTCGAATGTTCTCAGCCTTTTCCTGTAAAAGGCAAGGGATTTGGGTCTGGAAGTGAAAGCAATTCACATCCAAAAGGCAGTAAGATTCAGAGAGAGAGAGAGAGAATGTTGTTCCACTCTCTGGCTAGTTTAATTTCATGGTTACCTTTGGTCTGAGCATTATCAAATGTTCACCGTACACACCTTTGCCATGAATGATTCCTTCAAGAGAGGGCAGGCTGGCAGTGCATGTGATATTTTTGTCTGACACTTTGCTGATCCACAGGGCTCTAGACAGCTGTTTAGAACTGAGCATGTAAAGTGAAGCTGTCTAGAATAGCTCTTTTTGCCAGGCACTCCCAGTTGGAACAAACCGTTTAGGATCCCAGAGCAGAGTCCTAGGGGCTCTGTGGAGATACCTAAGATCTGTCTCCTCTGAAAAATGGTCCCTTATGTTTGTTCCCTGACACTTCTGATTTCTGTGTCAGCCCTTGCATCTAAGAGAAAGTGGATCTTCTGTGGCAATACAGAATGGATGGCAAGAGGCTTCGGGAACATTATTCAGCATAGCATGGAAAAAAATTGATATTCAGATACTGTTATATTTGAAAGAGTTGAGCACTCGGAACAGAGAGAATGAAAGAAGTAGGTAGCTCCTGTATGTGTGTATTAGGACAGTCTGTTTCACGTAGTAATAGCTTGTTTCTCTTCATGTAACCTTTTTGTATGTCATTTTCAAGCAAATTTAAAAAAGCGGATAATCTATCATGTGGTATGACAGTGATAGTCACTGTGGGTAAGGCTGGATGGAGTTGTTTCATCTAGCAAGCAAACATCTGCTATTTGAGCTAGCAGAATAACTGACAGCAGTAATAGCGTGTCATCTGCTGCCCTGGCCATGACAGAAACAGAAGCAGCACACGCTTTGGTGGAAGGTGTTACAGCTATTTGCCCAGAGCAGGGAAACCCTGGTCCTCCTGCTGCCAGGACTCCTGGGCCGCGTTCCAGACTTTTGTCTTGTTCCTTCCGTGCTATCCTCCTCCTGCATTATCCCACCTGCTTCTGTAACACCCTGTACTTTCTTTCCTTATTTTCATACACTTGATCTCTCTTCCTTCTCCTCCAGGCTCCTTCCTATTTGTGATCCCATTTTGTGTGTTACACGCTTCCAGTCCCACTCTCACTTTCTGAACTCCTCACTGCTTCTTGTTTCAATATCTCTTCTAGCAGGTAGTTTGTCTCTTGTGTGGCTTTTTATAAAGTCTGTCTCCCTTCCCTGCACTTCCATTCCTTACTCCTCCTAATCATCTCTTGTGCTCTCTTTTATTTAGGTGATCCCAGATCTACAGGCAAAGTTTATTCCCAGCTTACCTACTGCAATTGGCTACTTGTTTCTCTCAGTAGATCTCAGGCCTAAACCCCCTGTGCACCAAATCCAAGCTTCCTTGGCTGTAGCATTCCCAGGGAGCTCCTCAACCTCTCCAAGATGCCCGCTTGTTCACTCTGGATTCAGTTCAGGCAGCTTCTTTCTCCTGTTTGCCTGGGGTTCAGCGAAAGGAAGAAGGGCTGGGGAGCAAAAGATGTATTCATAAATTCAGAAAGGTACTTCCTCTGCTCTCACCTCATGTGGCTGAAGCAGGACCTGACACAGTTCAGAACAGCACTGCCATGGAGAGTACTGCTTAGCTCTAGGCTTGAGGATATCCAGGGCAGAGGAGACTTTAGGATTTAAAAAGTTCTTGCAGGCATGTGGAAATGTCAGGAATTTTGAATTTGCAGGGATGTCATTAAAGTTTGAATAGATTCCCATGGAAATGGCAAAACGCTTGTCCCTGCCGTTAAGACTATCTTCCTCACACATTTCAGATCCCAGCTCCAATTCCTGGCAGCACAGAGTACTTAAACACTTGTCAGCATTTTCCAGCATGGTCAAAAGGATGAATTCCTACATTGCTTCGTTCTCAACACTGGAAAAACATTTTGGTTGCTATGCAAATTCTACCAAATCACCCAAAATAGGAAAGTTCAGCCTAAATTGATTTAAGTTTGGCAAAGTTGCAGGCAACTGTAAACAGAGGCTTGTTGTGAACATTACTGCACAAACTTAATACAGTTTGCTATAAATCTCTGTGAATGACTTCTGTGTATTTGCGAGTGTTGCCAGCTTTCCTCTGTAATGCAAGCTCCAGCAATGCTGTACTTAGGGAAATTTTTAGCACTGAGTTTGGCCTGGCATGCCACTCTCCCATATTCTGACTCTTCAAGCAACTGCTATCCTTCCCTTGTTGTCACTGAGAAAGGATGAAAGACCTGTTTTGTTTTTTTTTTTTCCATGTTTCTTGAAGGGATAACAGTCAGTGGCAAAATGGTTGGGAGGGGACAGGTTGGGAGAAGGAGCAGATAAGAACTGCAACCCACATTGTTGGTGTAGGAGGACATTTCTGTGTTGGTGAGACCAGAAGGAGAGAAGCCTTGGCAGATAGAAGGAGGAGGTCATGTAGGGGATAAAGATAGTTTTCAGCAAGAGCTTCCTCCAGTGAATTTATTTTTCAGCTGAGGGGAGATGTAAGACAAACTACACCACTAGCTGATCAGCCTCCCAGTTGGGCATCTAGCTACTTGGAAAACTGCTTTTGGTGGTCAACTGGCAAATTCACTCACTTAGTTCATACACACAGAGAAAACAGGCTCTATCCGAAGAAAATTAGAAGGCAGAAGACCAGAGAGCTGGAGAGTGTAATATGTTAGCATCAGCAAAGTGAACTCAATTAACAGGAACACTGGAAACCCTTCTGGCTACACAGCACTGGGTTCAAAAGATGAATTCCTCCCCTCTTTCTGAATTTCTGAAGGAAGAGGAGGCATGCAGAGCCCAGAGATTAAGAGAGAGCTGTTCTCCTGCGCTGGAGGGGGTCATTCCCCAAGCTCCCACTTGTATGCAGCTGAAGCAGAAATCTACCTTGTAGTGTAGTGCCATGGCCCTCTTCCCACTCTAGCTCTATAGACCAGGCACAAAAGATTGATCTGACCAAGGATACACTGACATGTGGGTGTCTTAATTAAAAGGTAGACTGTGGTGCTGTATTCGTTATGAGGATCCCAGAAGTGTCTTAATCCTGACCTCCTACTGCTATGATTTCATCTTCTATCTCATGGCCAGAGGAAGTGCTGTTTTGTGTCAGTGGAGTTACGTACAAGACCTGAAAATGCAGAAGTGTTACTAAATCTGCTAATAAGGAGGCAGGTTTCTGTACAAAGGGGCTCCAGTGGCAAATTCCTCTACTAATCCCATAGCTGAAAAAGAGAGGTGATCCAAGGAACCCTGGATTTGCATTTGCTGCAACAACACTGTTACTCGCAGAGGGCCCAAATCCTGTAAGTGTGAACGCTTTCATTTAAGCATAAGGAGCCGTTCTCGAGTAGGGATAAAAGCAGTTTATCCCTAAGGATTTTAAAGCAGCTATGCCCTGTTACATCAGCTGTGGATATGGACCAACATTTGGCTGGTGGGTGGAATATACATACATACTTGATTGCCACTAATTTGGGACAAGTGTGTTCCTAGGCTGAATGATTAATATGGTAGGCAAGTCAGTGCTTGATCTCCCATAAATCATGATTGAGTTTCACCAGTGACAACAGCAGAGGTCCTCTCCGTATGCTTTTAATAAGCTCTAAATGGACTGGACGTCAGACATCTGTTTATTTCTGAAGTTAAATCAGGAACAGTTCAGTTCTATCCATTAAAAAGAGACCCTTCAGCCCATTTTCTTTTCTCCTTGTGAATTCAGAATGTGGCAACACACATGAGATGTGATGGACCCCTTAGATAAGTAGCTAGTACCTGGTCATGCTGGAAAAAGATGAGACAGCCCAGAAAGCAAATATTTCAGGGAGCTATGGCTAAAATATAAAAAGGCCTGAGCTTCAGCTAAAATAAATTTCTGCTACCCTGTTGTTTCACTGATTTACCTTGGCTGAGAATCAGGCCCAAGGTTCATCTCTGTTAGGATGTTGCTGTTATGTTCAGTTTTTATTTTGGCCATCTCCTTGGGGATGGAAAGGAGAGGATTCTTTTTCGCTATGCTTTTGTGCATATAATCCCTTACTACTGTTAGGGGTTGAACAGGGACGGTTGTCTGTGTGTGAATATTTGTGAAGGATGGCAGCTTGTGTTTCTACATGTGTGTGCACATGGCTGGGGAAGCAGAGCTTTTATTCTTCCCCATGAAAAGTGGTATTATATGAATGTTAATTGGTCCTTACTAACTGCTGATGTGTGGATAAGCGATTTCTAGCAAGTCCTTTTGGCTGCTCAGCATGTATTGTCTGGAGAACACGTTCTAAATAGTGATTATCATGACTGGATGATGAAGGGATGTTTTATTTTAAGGGTTTTTCCCCTCTGCCCCTTTATCTGTGTTCTCTAAAACTTCTGTCTTATTGCAAAGGTTTCACCTGCAGCTGCTGGCAACCTGGGGCTGGAATTGCCAAGCTGACATTGCTGTCGACAATATTACGTTTGGACTGGACTGCTTCACTGATGGTGAGCCACACGTTACAGAATACCTGAAAGAATTTGGATAGGGATCAACATCCCGCAGGTCCAGGACACGCACATGCAGTTCCCTCCACAGAGCGTACTTGGATCATTTGTGTTAGCTTTCGTAGCGCAATAGCATTTTATCTCAGACCTACTGAAGTTTGCAAATGGAGGCAGTTTTGCAGTGTGTCGGAGTCTCCTAGCACTCTTTCTTTTCCCTGCTCTGAGATATCCTGTGTAACATAGTTGAGACCTGTCTGTGTGTCTTGACAAGAAACACTGGACTTACTCCTAAGCCCCTAAGTAGAAGGATTACATCACACTGTTCTTCAGCAGTCTCCTCTGACCCATGTACCCTGGCAATTGATAGCTGAAGGGAATTTGTTGAAAGCTAAGTGCAAAGTCACCATATTTTAGAGGAGAAAAGGAGGAAGATGGAAGTATGAAGCTTCTGTCTCACATAAAAGTTTAGATTATTGCCACAGGTTTATTTTACCCTGCAAAGAGGTGCATCAAATGTCACTGCCGGGTGTGTAACAGATATATGCTTTCCTCTGCTTCATTACTGCAAATGCGATGGATCACAAGGTACGCCACTGAAAATGCAGCCAACTCTACCCTCTGAAGCAGTGTAGCAAAAGAGATGAATTTACATAGAAGACAAGTGGGAAGAGGTTGGATATTTGTACCACTTTCCAGTATTAGAAACTGGCTTCTTTTTGTCCCTGGAGAAAAGTGCCAATTGTAAAGCAATTGGAGAATATGCAGCACTTTGAATCATGACTTTTGTTACAGACAAAATGTACATCAGTAGCTTTGTGCTTTGCATGTCACCGTATCTAGTACGTCAGCATTCAGGGTAATAACATGTCCCAGCAGAGACTAGCTGTAGTCTAATGTAACTCATGGGACGCTTTGTGTCAGAACTGACACATGTTAAAAGTTATACATCAACAAAACGCCTTTTCACTTCCCCACCTCTGTCTGATTCGGTCTCTCGTTCTCTGCCACTTTGTTCTATGGGCACTGACACCACTATTCTCTAAAATGTTGAGCACCCACATTTTCCTTGAGGGTAAAGTCATTTGTTCACTTCGGCTCCTTAAACACCTATGGGTCCCAAACGCTTTGGGACCTCCATACTAACACTTTGTTTTGAAATCTTTTGAGGAAAGCAAAGGGAGGGAGTCCAGGTGATCTTGTGCCTCGCTGCTCTCCTCCTCGCTGCTGCAGTTTGCTATCCTTCTGAGAGCAAATAGAGCTGCCTGTGTAATTATACCTCTGTGCTAAGGCTGTTGCTTTTGCTCTAGTGCACCAGTTTGGAGGGCTTGAACTAAGGCACTGAACTCTGGGCTAAAACGATCAGTGAACCCGTAGGCATTTTGTTGGCTATGGTGTAGGGACGTAGGCTTTGGCAAATAGGCGGGGCAGAAATGCCACTGAAGCGATGCTTATCAGAGCTTATCTACTCAAGCTCCCAAGTTACTTCTCATTTTTGATTAGTATAAATTGAAACAAACTTACAGGACTGACTTCCCCTATCTGAAGGTGTGACCCAGAGGTGTGTGACTCATGCAGGAGAGAGACAGTGTGAAGGAAATATGTTTCTCAGAAGCCTTACACTTGCCATTGTTCCTTGAATCCTCTTTGTGAATTGACATTTTCTCGCCTCTGAAAGCAACCCCCTTGCATTTGTCTTCTTGTGAGTTTAATTCAGTTAGGCTGTGGAGAAGCCCAGCAGCTCTGCTGTGTTTTCAGTAATGAAATTATCTCTGCCTGGCAAGGAGAGGCTTCAGATGTCACTGATGGAGCCAATTAAGACCCAAGCAGTAGTTTCTACGCATGAGGGCAACAGGAAGGATGTATGGCAGGAAGGAAGAGTTTACTGTTTGCTAGGATGTAAATATTAATTTCTCCGTCTATTTCAATCCTGTAGTTGAAGTGCTCTGCAAAATCCAGTGCAGACTTTAAATGCACTGCTTGTATGTATGCAAACCAGGAAAGAAGGTGAGATTTAGGCAGAAAGAAGTGGGTAGTGAGGTCAGCTCAAGGGACATCAGTAAGGACAAAAAATAAACAGCCCATCCCTTGGATGGGAGTCCCTGGGCAGAGACAGGCAAGATTAGAAAAGTGAAAAGGCAAGATTAGACCATCTTCTGCTTAATGCAAGCACCTTCTGTAAGACAGTGTCGCAGGCCAAAAGATGTAGGTCTGATTCGTTACGAGAACTCTCAGGGGACAGGAATGAAAATATTTTAAGCTTTTAGTTATCTAGTGCTTGCACAGGAAGAGGTCTGGCTTTTGAGTGTCTAAATATCTTTGAAAATGTGGCCTGGCATAGCTAATAGACTGCATCTGCGTGACTATTGCCCTCCTCAGTCCTTAGGTAGTCGTTACTTTTTCTCTGTGACCTTTTAGTACTCTGAGCATGCTCTTGTTTCCGTTAAGATCACAGGCCTGTGGTCTATCGAAGTGTACTTTCCTACCTTGGCCTAGGGCTTAATATACGTTTCATACCATGCATTACTTGCGCGTTCCTAAAAGACTGTTTATTAAATGGCAAGACTGTCCAAAGAGAGCTTCGTATGGCATATGCCCAGTTTTTGACTTTGAGTTTGCCACCCCAGCAAAGCTTGGGCCTGTGGACCTGCCGGTCTCATTGCTAGACAGAAATGGCAGGCGGTGGTTCAAACTACTCAGCGCTGCCTCATTTGGCTAATTTAGTAGAAGTGTTGACTGGAAATGCAATATATCAACCAAAGAGTTGAGGGCAGGAGAAGCTGGCACAGCTTCCTTATTCCCTCTCCCACTCCCGGACAAGCTGGAGAGGCTTGCAGGAGTACTCCAAGCTGCGCCGGTAATGCAGGATCTGTGAAGGGACTGTATACGCTTTGGGGATACTTCAAGGCACCTTACTCTGGTCCCTAGAACCGCTGTATTTTTTTCATTACGGTCTCAGAGACAGAGAAGTAGGAACTACTTTAGCTCTGTTCCTGCAGGAGTTCCTCTCCTCCTTTCTCCTCTTTCTCCTTTTCTCTTCCCTCTGTCCTTCTCCAGTGTGGAAATTAACAGCATGAGCTGAGTCCTGGAGAAAAGGAGTCCCTTGCTCTTCAGATTTTTCTCATATAAGTACACCTTAATAGGAAGAGGTCTTGTTCCCTTCTGTTCACTTACTGTCAGCATCTTGGCTATTAGAGGAGCAAGTGGAAGCGAAAATAGACTGGAGCACCAGGCCCTGAATCCCACAGCTACAGCATGGTAGTAGAAAATGCCATCTTACAAATTCACATGTCTGGCAGCACGTGAAGTATCAGCCTTCTAAGAGTTAACAGCTCATGTGGGCAGGCTGACGCTCAGCCTGTCATGCAGCTTGTCTGCTGAGCACGGAGGAGACAGAAGCTTCTTTCCAGTGTGAGAGGGTTTGAGACTGTTTGGAGAAGGAGGAAAGATTGTTTGGAAATGAAGCATTGCCTTAGGATATACTCAGTTGGGTTGCTGCAAAAAAATCCATGCCGACACACAGACTAAGTCTGTATTTCAGAGACTGATTTACATTCCTTCACTCTGGCAAAAGTAACCAGGCTTCTTGTACATCTCTAAGCATCCGAAACTGTTGTGACCTTTGGGATTCTTAATTGAATGAATGCTTTGGGAGACCAGGCATCTTTTCTGGCTATGTGTTGTCTTTTTAGTTTGATTTTCCTTCTTGTCTTTGATCCAGATCATTTGTTTTGGGTTAATTTCATTTTTTGCTGGCTTGACAGCTCTATCCGTTGAAGTTCTCTGTCTCTGCATGGACAGAGTCTGTCAGTACAAAGCTCCCTTTTACTTCCATCTCCCAATGTGCTTTCTGCCAGACCTGGGGGGAATGTTCTCAAGAGTAAGAGCTGAGCAAGGTCACCATACTTCAATTACTTATTTGGCCTCTCTGACACAGCTAACAAGGGTGTTAATTATTGCTATTTAGAGCACTGGCTTTGTGGCAGAGATAATTGCGCAGCTGGAACTGAGTGACTCTTTTGAATAGAGCATCAAACAGCTGTTAGATTCTCACAACTGGAACAAGTTGAAATATTTGTAATGTTTTTCAACTAATGAAAAATGTTCACTATTAAATTAACCAAGGGCTCATAAAATGGAAGGACGTCTCTCCTTTTTTTTAACAGAGATTTTCTAATCAAATATCTGCATAAAAATGTGTGATTTAACTATTGAAATAGGATGTTTGCAGACTATAATGCAAGGTCTCAGTTATTACTTTTTTCTGTTGCGAGGCAGCTTTGGTTATATACGCTGTTCTTAATGCATTCAGTGCTTTAGATCAGCAACTGCTTTGAAGTCCCTGTTCTCTCAGAAGGATCCAGTTTTTAAAGGCCTGTTTCGCTGGTCAGAAATGTAACTTTTTGCTGTGTGTTTTTCAAAAGTGTTTGTCCAAAGATTTGCGACTATGTCAAGGGTATGCTGCTGCTTCTTAGCTGTTCATTTTAGTAGGTATGTCATTAAGTGATCCATTAGACTGGTTTACCTGCTATGATGCCATTAAGAACCAAAGATGATAATTTTTGACATCTCTCTCCTTTGCACATTCACTGATTTGGCTGCCCAGCATTGTCACCTGCCCCTTTGATGGATACCCTACATGGTATCCATTTCTCCCAGGCCATGCTTTTTCCAAAGTCTCTTGTAATCACAGCCAGTGAAATATGTAGACCAAGGAGTTTATCCTGCAGGTGAGACTGCATAGGATAACGTGGGGAGCTAAGCCAAGATTTGGGCCCCAAAGAATAAAATAAATGCACAGCTTTTCTGCACAAGGCACTCTTTATTTGTTTTAACCAAATGATTGTACTTGGTTCATTCATGTGATTTTATGTATTTTCCATCTCTCTACTGCCTTCTCATCTCTCTCATCCATTCCACAACTGTAACAGGAAGACAACCAAGCTATTTTGGTGGGAAGCGCCAGTACCAACAGGAAACTAGTATCCTGGATGAGCATCTCCTGAACCCACTGGAAGAGCCCTCCCTCCCAGGTAGATTGTTCTGTACTGAAAACCTGTCTTTTGGGCTCTAGCAGGTAGTTCCTTGCCCATCACCTATGCGTAATCTGCCTGCCCTATAACAACAGAGCAACTAAGTATGATCCGTCCCAAAGATGTGGAGACCACATCCGGTAGTCTCTGCTTGGCTAGAGTGCAGCAGGATGCTAGAGCCCAACTTACCAGTCCTTAAAGAGTGTAAAAGCAGAAGCTACCTGACTCAAATGCAGAGAGGACAAAAGTCAGGCCAGGAGGGAAAGGTGTAGCCCAGCACCGGAAGCTGGGGATGGACAGAAATTTACTGGGACTTGGAGAGCAGTGAACTGACCCTAATGGGTGGGCAATAGAGGTGTAGAGATGGGAATCCAGAGAGGGAAACAAGTGCGAATCTGAAAATCCACTGAGGAGAGAGAATGCTAAAACTGGATGCAAAGCGAGGAAAAGGGGGGCACTGGGGACCAATTTGTTGGTAGCAATAGAGGCTGGCACTCTGGAGGGTAGATAACAACTGTTTGGGTGAGAAGAACTGGCTAAAGGAGGGCCTGAGGAGGGGAGGCTGTGCTTGGGCAGTCTTGGAGCCTGGGGTTGCCTGAGGAGCCGGTCATAGGGAAGAGGCACAGGCAGTTTGAAGGGGACAAGACGGGATGTAACAAGCTTGGAGCACAAGCAGAAGTCTAGTAAAGTACCCAAGGAAGTATATTCCACCTCAGAACCTGCGATGAAATGCAGGATTCTTGTGTCTTGAGGTTGCTGTGCTGCCAAAAAATGCATGTGTGACTGCATGCTCTTGGCCCCTGAAGACTGGGTCCACCTGAAAGGTGACAATCTGTGCTGCTCTCAGGCTCCTCTACTAGCTCAAGTGACAGAGATTTCTGTAGTGGAGCTCCCACCCCACTGATCTAGCTGCGTGTTGGCAGGAGGACATCTATTGGAATATTTAGGGATAGTTTTGCTTGCCTTTTTCTTTAAATAAGATTGCAAGTTTTAAAAAAAGTTTGTGCTATTTACTCTTTTACTATTTACTGTTTCTGGCATGTACTATTTTGATCATTCTGCTCTTAAACAGTTCTACTATGGCGTATCCTGTGCCACCTGATTCTGGCCCTTGAGCCTGCCCTATGTGGTACCTGGTACAGTTTTTAGTTACGTTATCCAATAGTTTTATTCTTAGGCCTTGTCTCATTCACTGGACAGGATGGACCTGTTTGGGACATGAAAAAGAGTAGTGAAATGCAGGAGATGGTTATTTGCCACGTTGTTGCAGAAACTACAAAGAGTAATGAGAGCGAGGAAGAAGTTTGATTGGAAAAAAAAAAAAAAAAAAAAAGACCCTAGTGAAAGTAGGAAGATGCTGTTCTGCCTTTTGATGCTGCTACCTTAGACAAGTTGTTTAAACCCAGGCCTTTCATAGAAGGTTGGTAGCAGTACTGGCAGATGTTCTCAGCCTTTACTTCTGGGTATACGTTTTGGTTCCCATCTGGAAAGCTGAAAGAATATCTTCTTGCATCCTACTGGCACTGAGAAGAGAAATTTGGTAATGTCTTTGAGACACTTGGATAAAACTCATCAGAAACCTGCAAAGAAAATTACAGGTTTAGCTGCAGTCCATGATTTATTAAATAGTGTGTGGGAAATAAGGTGAGAGAAATGAGACAAATAATGGCTATAAAGAGAGCACTCTTTGTGCTATGACTAGAGTGAAGCCGGGATAGTGTGATGAAAATAACTGTGTTATGATGATATAATTAAGGATGATATCATAGTGGACTGTATTATGAGGGAGCTTCACTGAAGTTGTACAGATAAACTTAACTTTAGCATGCACTGGCTTTGAAGACCTTAACGTTGTAAATGCAACTTTAAGCTTTTTTTTTTTGATAGTTCACAATCATATGAATGATTGTTATAAGTATAAGCCTGTGACCAAATGAACGTATTTGATTTTAAAGCCCTGCAGATAGCAGGTACTGCTGTAACATGGTCTTTCTCATGGCCATCTGATTTTTATATAAAAATCATTACTGTTGTTTGTGAATAACAATGTTGTGAAGTTTGTTACTGAATAAGCTTCCAGTTTGATCACTAAGGAAACGTATCAACAGGAACAGCTATTTGTTTTGATGATATTTGTCCTTTGGTTACATAATTCTGTGAGTTACTGCACCTACCTTAGAAACAAAGGGAAGCTGACGTCTGTCCCAACTCTTGCTGTTTTGATCACAGGGGACACATCTGTCATTCTCTGGTGGTTCACAACATGTGGTGCCAGTGGTCCACACGGGCCAACTCAAGCACAGTGTGACAGCGCCTATAAGAACAGCAACGTGTCAGTGACTGTGGAGAAAGAGGGCAGGCTTCGAGGAGTGCAAGTCTGGAGAGTGCCAGCCACAAACCGATACAGGTGAGTATTAGTGTGTACTGGAGAGGTGACCATTTAGCTGCTTTCTGGTCGTAGACCTCCAGCTAGCTAAGTGTGGGACTGTTCCTATTGAGTGGGCAAAGGGACCAGTGAAGCAAGAGAGAAGTGGGCGCGCTGGCTGTCAGGATTTGTGTCTGAATTGCCATGAAGTGTGGAAGGGTGGTAGTGGTGACTGAGAAGAGATCAGAGCAGGAGTGGCTGTGGGGGTGAGGTCAAGTGCAGGTGCTGCCATCATTTCAGTCCTAAAGCCTTGGTCTTTTAGATTTGGTTGTAACAGCTCATGTTTTCACTCCTGAAGCCTCTGTCTCCAGTGCTCTGGCTGAGAGTCAGCCCATCCTCTTGAGAAGATGTGGCGGTGTGGACCTTGGAAAAAGGAACAGCTGTGAGATGCTGTGGCAGGGGAGCTTGCTCTGGAGCGATGTCTGTTTGGGAGCGCAGGGTGGCAGGAGCTCACAGTGGGAGTTGCTTTGGGGATGAGAAGTGCCAGATTTCTGTCTCTAATTACTTCCTTTTTCTTCCAGGATTTCTGCCTATGGAGCAGCTGGAGGGAAAGGAGCCAAGAACCACAATAAGAGGTCCCATGGGGTCTTCATCTCGGCCACTTTCCAGCTGGAGAAAGATGAGCTGCTGTACATCTTAGTGGGGCAGCAGGGGGAGGATGCCTGCCCTGGGGTGAGGGCTGCACAAACACATGTGGGCAGAGACTTTGCAGAAAAGCATCAGCAAGATTCCGTGGGTGGCTTGGGGTTTCGCTGTATTGGCGATGAGTGATAGAAATCCCGGGATCCAGCAGTGAAATCCAGTCAGGAGACTGGGAGGAATCAGTGAGCCAAGTTAGAAAGAATCTTCTCAAAACAAATATAAAGAACTCTAAAATGAGAAACCATCCCAAAATGCACAAACAAATACAAAACCCACAGGAACTCTGCTTTAAGCTCATGTTTAAAATAAGAAATTCTTCCTCAGCTTTCTTCTGTTTGTTTTAAGCTACTAGGCAAGAGTTGTGCGCTCCCTATTTTATTTTTTCCACAGTCTAGATTTCCTTTTATGTGCTAGGATTTCAGATAATTTTCTGTTAATTACAGGAGTTTCTACAAGCCCCCAGCAGCACGGGGCTGCACTCTGTTAGGTACTCTTCTAAGTTTGGAGACTAAGGGCTGAATCCAAAGCCTGTCAAAAGCGGTGGGATTCTTCCCACTGACAATAGTGGCCCCTTGATTAGATGTACATAATGACAAAAAATCCACTCAGGAAGAACAGAAATTGATGTTTTGGATGCTTATACAAGCGTCCTCTAATGTTAGACACCAGTGTTTTCAAAGTCCTTTTACCAGTTAGGCTCAAAAACTACCTCTTTTTAGCCTAAGTTCCTCTTTTCAGAAATGTGATCTGGCAGCCCATGCCCAGGAGCAATGCTGTTCTCTCTTTTCCCCCCAGATAGACTACTGAGCTTGGGGATACAAACACTGTTCTTGTAGGCATTCAGAGTTACCCTTTACTTTGCCCAGAACATACAGTGTCTTACTCAGATATTGCAACAGATTCTAAATCCAACCATTCTTTGCTGAGACAGTACAAGAATTACGTCTGTCTAGATAAAGCATACCTTTGTATATCTGCACATCTCACACTAGTGCATTCTCTAAACCTAGGTCATGAGCTTCATAGGCGTCCGTTATTCCCTTGCATTTCATGGACTGCTCTTCAAATGGCAAAGTTATCTGCCTGCACTAGCTTTCTCCCTTTGGCAGATGCTGCTATTGGAAAAAGCTTCCCTTCTTTTTTCCCTCTTGGCCCAGCTTTCTTTGTCTCTGGCTTCGGAAGTCCTGCTGAGTCTGTATGTTGGGTAACTAACATGTTTGTTGTCCTTCCTCTGAAGAAACTCTGTAGCTCTGAACTTTCATCCTCTCCCCTCAGTGTTTTCCCAGTTGCTTTTCCCTTGTCCTCGGCTACCCTGTCACCTTTTGCCCTCTCCTTTGAATAAGCGAAGATAGCCAGCATAACTGGCCCAATGCTTCTGGCCTAGCTATGTGACATGACCCAAACACGTGGGGATTTCACCTGCACTGAGGCAATATAGCATTTTCTGAAGTCATTCAGAATTCATTGTCTGAATGAAGCTGGGCAGATTTATAAAGTCATTGCACCTCGTGGAACTCAGCGTCACATAAAAAAATCTAAGACTGTCAAGCAGTCTTCAATTTTTTAGTGTCCTCTAGCATTTATCAGGGAATGGGAAGCTGGGGCTCCAGATTTCTATGCTGAGATGTATCAGTAGTCACTATTAACTATGTGCAGATCACCTCTGTCTGCTTTGTATTTAGGAAGCTGAGAAATACCTATTAAGTACAGCAATAAGGAAGTTCTGAAAATTAATCCATAGTTGAAACACACTTTAACGTTCTTGGATGTAAGAAGTTATAAATGTGCAAAATATGAGTTTGTGTTATCAATAATGAGTTATTGCTGCGTTACTGTGGTGTTTTTTTCTGTGGGCGTTTGTGTTTTCACTTGCGTGTGTGCAATGCGAGTTTGCAAATCAGAGGTAACAGGACAGATCCCTCCCTCAGCTGTTGGTCCCTGTAGAAGAGCTTGCTCTCCACACAGATAATGTATATCAGACATATATATATCATTGTATATATCTCAAACAATATATTATTACCTTGAGAGATACAGATAACTCTCGAGAGTTGGACTTTGCTGACTTAGGAGTGCCTCTGTTGTCTCCTTTCAGGGCAATCCTCAAACCCAGAAGATCTGCTTAGGGGAGTCATCTCTCATTGAAGAAGATTACAAAAAAAAAAAGGACCTGAAGGACTGGGCTGGAGGAGGTGGGGGTGGAGGAGGAGCAACTTACATCTTCAGAGTAAGTACTCCCTCTTTCCATTCTGCCCTGGTGGGTGGTGTGCAGCAGAGCAACTAGTTTTCACTGTCCTGTTGTATGACACTCTCAGTTCTTACAAGAAGGTGATGGAGAAAGGAGTCTGTTTCCCCCTCTCTGTCTGTTTTCCTCTCTCTGTCTTTATGTCTTTTCAATTCAAATTCTTTACCTCTTTTCATATCCTTGATCACACTTGTCACAGTCACGAAACAAGCTGAACTGCTTTCTCAGGTCTGGCAGCTCTGGTCTGGGAATCAGACCAGGACCCCTCTTTAATACTGGCAGCGGTCCTACCGAAAATCCCTGGTGTTTAATTGAACAAAACCAGTTCCTTTTGCACACAGAAACACTGTGTAAAACATTTCTGTAATGCAGTCAAGAAACAATCATTAGTGATGTCCTGGCCTTGGGCCATTGTCCTTTAGGTTGCTTCCATGCTTTTTGATGCAAAGAGTTGTGTGAGTTCACGTATCCAAGGGATGTGAAGTTTTTCTGATGTTTGATGGGGGGTTTTCCAGCAGAAAGATGGGATTTTCGAACCTTTGCTCATCGCAGCAGGAGGAGGAGGGAAAGCCTACCTGAAGGCTCAGGACAGCTCCCTAGATGATGTACCCCTCGAGCAGTTTGAGAACAGCACTGCAGTACCTGGAGTCAGTGGGAGTACAGGGGCAGCAGGTGAGACACTAAAACCTCACAAGGTCTGGATCTGATGGCTGAATGTACAAGTTGTTCTGTAGACATGAAACGAGAGCCTTCTCTTTGATCTTTTGTAATTTTTTTGTGGAAGCAGTTGTTAGAAATGTGTTGGCAGTTCACAAAGGTTGTCTTCTCATGCATTGTGTTACCAGAAGAGAGAGAATGCACAGGGCAGGTGAGGAGTGCTCCAGGAGAGGCTGTTCTATAGGAGGGGTCCTCTCTTCCACAAAACGACCTAGAGAAAGAAAATGGTGTTTTGTGGGTAGAGCCCACTCCTCCGCGCTGTAGTAATGGCCTTTAAAGAGAAGAGAAGACTTTTTCCCTGTTACTCCCCCAAAGCAAGAACATTTCTGGAATTATCCCAGAAATCAAACCTTATTCATAACTGAGTGACAGCTATGCCTGGAACCGATTCCTGAAAGACAAAAAACCAAGTGATTCTCCATCTCCTGCTGTAATAGCCTTATGTAGGGTTCTCTAGAGGGAGATGGGAAGTCCGGGTTAGATTTTATGTCCTCCGGGGAACTCAGCATCTCAAGTGGCTGAAAGCCCCAACCAGCTATCCCAAAGTGGACTAGTGGGTTCCCTATTTCCCCAGTACCACTAGAAGCTGGTGCTTAGGTGCTTGTTAGGCAGCAGGTACCATAGATCCTGCACTAGATTTCCACTTCTTGTCCATAGCAACAAGAAGCTTGTCTGTATTCTTCTCCTTCGAGGAAGAGTTAACTTGAATGCAGGCATATCTTAGGACCAACCTCCATCTCTTTCCAGTATCATCCTGCCACTCTCCTCTGCTTGTGCTTGCCTCACCTGTTCTTGTTTTGTTCTCTCACTGTCTGTCCGTGAAGGTGGAGGTGGTGGCTGGCAAGACATGACTCTGCTTCCTCAGGCTGGGAAGTCCCTCCTGGAAGGTGGAGAAGGGGGTCAGGCTTGTCCCCAGGCACTAGCCAAGCTCCAGTGGGCCACCTCTGGTGGCTTTGGTGGGGGAGGAGGAGCTTGTACTTCTGGTGGAGGAGGCGGAGGCTACAGAGGTAAGTTTGTTAAAGGAAAAGACACGTCGTCTAATTTGGTGCAATTCAGAGCACCTGCTGGAGCTCTCAGTACAGAGGAAAACTGCTCCAGAAGATGATTCACAGAGGCTTCAAGTTAAATCATATGAAGCCCTTGTACCCTCTCTCTTTAGTTGGGGGAATTAAGGTTACAGAAATATGCCTATGTGATTTCATATTTGGAAGGAGTGCTGAATCATCCCTTCGTTTGCCCCCAAGTTGCCTGTGGAAAATGCTCCGTTTTCTTTTTCTGTTGAAAGCAAATACATTTTTACCTTGCTGAACTGAGAAACCTGCATTGGAACAATTCACTTCACTAGCCCTGGGACTGGTTGGGTTGAATGAATGTTATCTGTCAAGGGCATGATTCATATTAATGTCACGGGAAGGTCGCAGAATGACCCCAGGTGATAAGAGCCAGGAAGAAATGGAGCACTTTAGAGGCATCATATTTTTGCAGCATGCAGCGCTGATCAGCTAGTCAGACTCTTCTTTCTTCAGGGGGGCATGCCTCTGCTAATGATGATATCACGGCTGGTGGGCAGGATGGCATCTCTTTTGTGAACCCCATTGGAGAGATCTTCTTGCATCCCCTGGCAGGTACAATGCACTTTTTCTTCTTCCTCCTAGTTCTTTTCTTCCTTCTTGTCTCTTCCTTTCTTTTTTTTTTTTTTTAACTTCCTATTTCCTACCCCTTCTTCTCCTGTCTTTGCCTTTCATACGTCTTACTCAGGCATATTTCACTCTGCAGGACAGATCCTCAGCTGTGCTCATTCCTTTAAATACATCTATACTACTCTAGGACTTTCCCACCTATATCTGATAAGCCAGGAGAGACACCATTGATCAAGTTCAACTGCACATCCTCAGCCCCAGGCGTTTCCAGGCCAATTCACTTCAGGACCTCTGTGCCTGCCTGAGGGACTGAACCCCTTTTTTTCTCCTGGCCTGCACCAGCTGTCTGGCATGTCTCCACACTGTTGGACTGTTTGGTCTCCTGCAGAGAAAGAGAGAGGATGTAGTGTTTGCTCTTTTGTGTCCTTACCTAAGCAAGATAGGAAAAGCTAAACTAAACCTGCCTATTCTGTCTGATTCTTTATTCAGCCATGGAGAGTCACGGTGAGGTGGAGGTTCAGATCTATCTGAACTGCAGCCACTGCCACTCGGACAACTGTAAGCGGGACCCTGATACCAACCTGCCAGTCTGCCAGTGTGAGATAGGGGCTGTGCTAGCCGACGACAATGTCACCTGCACTGGTAAATTGTGGAGTTTTATCCTCATCAGATAGCTTTTGTGTTTTTTATGTCTCCTCTCCTCCTGGTTCTTTTGACAGTCAAATCACTGAGTTACAGCTGAGGGCTCCCGTGAGCTCAGTGTTACGAGAAATTTCTGGCCAACATATGACTGAAAATTCCTGATGTCCTTTTCTTACACACTAAGCTGCATCTCTGTCACCATCTCCAAAATTCAGGTTTGGGTTAGGTAAAAGGTAAAATAGATGGAAAGGGGCACAGCATAAATTTCCTGAATGGGTGTAGTGCGTCAGATTGCTTTATCTGCAAATATTTAAGCATAAATACTTCACTGGTGTAATATACTACCCGACGCTGGGTTACTTAAGCCACAAATTACTTCCTTCCACAGCAGTTTCCTGCTGTCCCTGTTTGCCTGATGCCTGGTATTTGTTGTTATTTCCTGACACAGTCTTTTGGAACTCCAAAGCATAAAGACTGTAATGGAGTTTCAACTTGTGAGCAGTGTTTTTATCCATTAGTGAAAAACTGCGCAATAGATAAGTGGTTCTGTGTTTTGTTGGTCAGTTTTTTTATCTTTACAATTTTTTTAATGAATTATGAATGTTTTCAATCTCCAGGACTGTGAAGAGATTTGCTATAATTTTTAAGAAGGTCTGGTCATGATCTCTGGGTCATTTTCTGAAACAGAAGCAACCTTGAAAGGGATTCTTAACTGCAGCTCTGGTTGCTTCCTGATTAATGCGTCTCTCTCTTTACTTTTTCCAGTACTCCAGGGTCCTATCCTAGAGGCACACCTGTCTTTTCCGCTCCTCCTAGCTGTGGTGGCAGTGATTGTGGTGCTTGGAATGATCCTCACTTGCGGCAGCCTATCTATCAGTAAGAAACATCTTCGCACTTGCTCCTTATCTTCCTTTGACTTGGCCTTTCCCAGTGAAATTAGACAAAAGGAAAACACCCTACCACGTGCTGCTACAATTAATACTTGGAGCCAGACTGTTTTGGTCGCCCAGGTGGATCAGAGGGACAGGGAGAAAGGAGTGGTAGGAAACATGACCCTCCCAAAATTAGACACAAGTGTAGTTCCATAGAGCAAAGACTGCTCTGGCTTGGTATTTGCAAGAGAGAAGAGTTTGGAAAGCCCTCTTAGCAGGCCCTCTTTAGCCACTCTTACTACCTAAGCTGAAGTCATAATCTGCAATTAAACATAAAACTCATTCTGGTGAATGTCATGTTTCACGTGCTTAGCTTTTGGGACTGAATGCCAGCAAGGTTTCTTGTGGACCAGCCTTTCCTTAGCCAACACATGAAGAAATAGAGGAAGCTGAAGCTTATTCTGAGTGATAAGGACTCTGTAGAGATAAGGCTGTTTGCCTATCCCGGATTACGCTATAGAGTGTGGAAATAAGAGTGACGCTAGAAAGCTAAAGGGAGTTCTTGGGCATTTATAATTACTGATTTGATTTCTTCTTTCTGTTCTGTATGGTCAGTATTGTCTTTCTCTCCAGATGTTGATCTTGTTTGCCTTTTTATTTGCCCCCAATCCAGTTTATCACCTTAAGAAGCAGCAGCTAGAAGGAGCCGGAGCACGACTGCAGAGCCCAGAATATAAACTGAGCAAAATCCGCACATCAACCATCATGACAGATTACAACCCCAACTACTGCTTTGCAGGGAAAGCTGCCACTCTGAGTGAGCTGAAAGAGATCCCACGGAAGAACATCTCTCTGCTTCGGTAAGACTTGCTGCAGGGGCTGTTCTCTGGCACAGCAGAGGAAAGGCAGCCTGAAGCTAAGGCAGAGGTAGGGCTCACATGCTTCCTTTATTCACCATCAAGCATCCCGGACAAGAAACTGAGGGCCACCTGCCTGGCTAACTGGAAAGCACCTAGTCCAGGGCAGCCAAAATATGACAGATATGACACAGTGTTCTCCAAAATATTTTGATCCAGTAAAGAGCTCAAGCAGAAGTGTAAATTCATGAGTGTCCTGTTCCATGGACCAGTTTATGCTGCCACTCAGAGCAGAGTGTATTTCACCTCTGTGTTTTTATATGATGTCCTGGATAGCGCCCACCCCCTGGCAGTAGCTTCTTTCCAAATCGATAGCACTATTTCTTTTTCAACATTTTCTGTTACAAGGAAATGCACACTAGGTTGCTTTTGTGCTCCATACAATCCAGATGATGCTGGTTAAAGCTATACAAACCTCAGAATGAGGAGCTTGATCATCCTCGTGTGCACTATTTCCTGTAGATATCAGCTCAGAGTCTTCCTTATCTCTTATTCCCCATCTCTTTCTTGCCTTGCAATTGCTATACTTTGAGACAGGGCTCTAGGACTGAGCAGCCTGCTTTATTTGTTCAGAACTATTGATGATCTAGCTTCTCTGGTTTAGGGACAGCACCAGGAGATACTAAAAAGTTATTTTGGGAGTCTTTGAGATTAAACCAAAACACTGTCATCAAGTCCATCTCTTATAGCAGGTTCTAAACCCATTCTTGGACTGGACAAAAAGAAGAGCTCAGCCAGTGCTGGATCCAGGGCCGTAATAACGTCTGTTCTGTCTCTTTATTCCCAGAGCACTAGGACATGGTGCGTTTGGAGAAGTTTATGAGGGGACAGTGGTAGGCATTGGAGGAGATCCCAGCCCTCTTCAAGTAGCAATCAAGGTCAGTACCCACAGATTTCTTATATAGCAGAGTAACTGCCCCTAAGGGCCATACTATCTTATTACTGTTCCAGTCAGAGAATCACTGTCATATGCAGTGATTCATCACATGCATAGTCATCACATGCATAGTGTTATATGTGAACTTTGATTTTAAAGCTGTGTGGCACTAGCAGCAGGTTGAAAGAAGAGCATCTGTCTTGTTTGCTTCATGCCTAATGGCTGTAAGTTGTGATCTAACTAGGATGAGAATCTTAAGGAGTATGATGGTCTCTTTTGGTAGCCTCCATTCCCGTGGCTCAGGAAAGATACAGCCTTTGCCCTCAGATGGGAAGTTGTGCAAATTAGTCACCCAGGGACTGCATAGTATTATTAAATATTGTTAAAACGATAAACCAAATTATCTATCAGCATAAACAAATATAACTCCCTTGTGATCAGCCGGGCCCACCAGTTCACTCTGGTATAGAATCTGGTCTGCCCTCATAAAATTGACTTCTCTTGAGGTGGTCACTGAGCATCTTACTGAAAATCCTTGACAGCACCACTAAGCTGATAGAGCTCCTGTCCAGTGCCTTTCTGCCACAATGATTTAAAGATCTGAGTAGCGAGAAGAGAAAGAAATTGGGAGGGAAACCCCAACAAACAGGTTCCTAAGGCCGGAAAAAAGAAAAAGGATACCCTGACAAAAATTATTTATCTGACAGCAAACATTAAACACTGAGACTAATGCTTAAAATATTATTAATTCTGCAGTTCAGTGTTCTTAAGTGCCTTCTTGAAAGTTTTTCATATGAAGTTACTGCATTTCAAATTTTGTATCATTTGATAGCCACCTTTCCTTTACACTGAGGGTTGTGTCTGCCTACCACAGACCAAACTTTCAGGTAGTCTTTAATACTCTGCAGTGTTAACTATGCTGCTATAAATATATATTGCGATATCATGTGAATTTTCCATATTTTTTCACTGGAAGTACAAGCTTTTTCATTATCTCTGTTATAACATTAATCTCTTAACGTATTTCTCTGAATTTCTTTTTGTTTATAAGTCCACAATAGATCCACATTTATTTTCTCCCTGTTAAGCAATATGTTAGCAAACCGATATACAGTTTAGCACTGTGGTGGCTGCGCAGCTCCCTCTCAGACACTGGCCGTATTTCTCATTATCCAAAAGATTTTGTACTTATGGCTTAAGCAAATGAGCAGTGCTTTCTTGGTGTTAAGTAAATTGTTTGTACCATATTTATTCTTTCTTAAAAAGGAATTAGTTCCTTTTTCTTTCTTAGTTTCTTCTCCCCTGCTGGAAACTGATACAGTATCCACGGGGCCCAGGGTCTGACTGTGCTTATTTTGCATCGTGATGTAGTCAATTGGCCCTGATCAGGCCTTGCAGAAGAAGCAGATGCAGACTATGAATAAATTTAAAAAGTATATTTGCAACATACTGTTTGTAGGTATTCCACCGATGTAGTAGATCATCTGCAAGGTACTCTGTGAAGCAATGACTTATTTCAGACAACGAAGCGCAATCCCATCCTCTGTAGCCCATGCTGCAAATGGCAGGAACTGTATTTCCATGCCAGCCCGCCCCACGCTCAGCAGCAACATCCCACCTCTCTGTGTGCACTTTGGCAGCAAGCACTACCCACAGCTGTGGCCAAATCATCCCGCAATGTTAGAACAGTGGGTACAGCCACAGGCACTGCTTCTACTGCAACCTGCGCTCTCAGTTCACGTACACCAGGGGAAGGTGCTGCCCAAATCTTGTTCAAGAGAAAGCTATAAAGGCAAAGACACAATTATATCCATCATGTTGTTGTGTGTCTCACGTCACACAGGAACATGTGCTGCACTGTAGAAACACTGAAAAGGAGAATAGATTTGCACCTGTGGCTATAAAGTGCTTATCAGATCTGTAGAAGCTATTTTGCTCCAGCACACTGGATGTAGTTAAATGCACGCACAAAGCTCCCTAAGTAGGTCACCAGTTGCCTGTTCCTTTAACTGCCAAATGGGTCATGGACAGACCAATAAACTGGGCACTGAAAAGATGAGGCCCTCCTCATAGATTCCTGAAGTCATTGACATTCATGTTCCTTGCTTGTTCTTTTCTTTTTCTTCTTCTTCTTCTTCTTCTTTCATTAGTGCTTCCCTAAATGTTCTCAGTTCTTTGCTGGGGTGGTCCTCACGTTCTTTCTTCTCAACAGACATTACCAGAAGTCTGTTCTGAGCAGGATGAGATGGATTTCCTGATGGAAGCATTGATAATCAGGTACAGTTTACGGTTCTTAAACCTGTAGTAGGCGGGACGAAGAGGAGCAATGTAATAATAATTTTGCTTGGATTTGGTAAAGAAATCTAGCCTTATTATTTTTCACCAGATGGCAGTTTAGTAGTGCATGGTTGCTGGTTTCAGCCGCTTGTTCATCTCAGACAGAGTACCTTTGTTTCTTTTTTATGGGCATCTCAACAAAAATTTCTTCTGGCTGATTTTGCCGGTCACATTCAGAGAAGTAAAAAGGTACAACGTTCTTGTACAAGTGTGTTCTGTGTTTGAACTGTTTTCCTTTTCAAATAATCCTGTTGCTGTTTTTCTAAGTATAAATCATGTCCTGAATCCCTTGTCAAATAAATTTTCAGTGGTGAAATGGAAAGCAGACCATGCAACAGGAAAGTTGAAGATTAGTGCCACCTGTGCAGCAACTCAGATGACCAGCCTCTGCCAAGATGAAGACGAGCACCAAGGTGGTGCAACACGGGCTGCGTGTCAGGGAGTTAAGCTTACTGTGTGTCAGGGAGTTAAGCTTATAGGCTTGGATGCTAGGGCTTAAACTCTATCATCTCTTGCAAATAAAGACAAGGGTTTTTAGAAGAACAGGTTTTACAGCTGAAGCAGGTGTGAAAAGCTTTTTCCATTGTGGCTTTCATGTAGCTGCCAAGGATACATGCAGCCTTTTGGTTTTCCCTGTCTATGGATCAGTTTGTTGTCAGAGGGTGCTTTCTGCAGTGAAGGTCCTTGGGTTTTGGCCCTCCCTCAAACAAAAATAGCTGAGTGAGGCCCTCTGAAACCTCTGTAGGGGTGAGATGGGGAATATGGCTTCCCTATATGCCGGTAGCCAGCACAGATAGAGCACAGCCCTTCTCCCAGTGAGGCCACTTCTCTTAGATGTCTTCTGGTTTTTGATGTCTTTGCAAACTTGATGGGAACTTTATAAGATCTCATGTGCAAGATCCTCTGACAGTGACCAATGAGCTATATAAAATTTATTTGCCTGGATAATGGATTGAGCCATTCCTGTAACTACTTGTACTTCTCATTGTCTGGCTTGGACCGTATGCAGATGCTGTTTTTCTTCTGTTAAAGCATGATTCAAGAACGAATCTCATAACGTAAGGCACTTCCCAAAGTCTGCAAAAATTTGAATGAAGTGAAGAGGAGGTAACACTGATTCATGATTTTTAAGGAGCATTTCAATCAAACAATTACAGAATGCTTTGATTTAGTTAGAACATGACCCTCCCTCTCTCCCAAATTCCTTTTCATTCTCAGTTCCCATATTACCTAGATGATCACTATCCAAGGAAGATTCTTACTTTCTAGTGTTGGGGGTTTTGCTGAGCTTGCTGACAGTCTTAGCTTTCTTTTATAAGAGACAAAAGGCTATCACACAAACAGCTGCCATAGGAGGTACTTAGCTGGGCCTCTCTTTGGCAAACTAGATACTGAACTTAGTCCACCAAACTAGACAGCAGTGTATTTAAAGTAACCAAGGCTGAAATAAAATACAGGACAGGATTTTGTTTCACAAATGCCAGTAATTTTTGGATATTTGAATTGTGTGGTTTCCTTTTCCCTTTCACCTCTTCCTCCCCCATTCAGTGTGTCCACTAAATCCTCTCTTCACAGACAGAAAGCTCTGCTTTACTTTCAGCTTTTCACACCTTCTAAGGAAGTTTTTCATGGACAAAGCCAGGCAGAAGCCTGTTCTTGGGACCCTCGTAATTGGAGAGGCACTTTGATACGGCTGAAGTTGGAATTTGTTTGGTAGTTTGCACTGCGTTCGAGGTTCCTTTCACTCCAGGTTGTCAAAGCTCAAGGCAGAACAGTGAGCGTCATAGATGCTGGCCGGTTACTAATCTTGTTTCTGTTTCTCATGCTGCTATGATCTTGGCTTTCAGTAAGTTCAACCACCAAAACATTGTGCAGTGCATCGGTGTGAGCCTGCAGACGCTGCCTCGCTTCATTCTGCTTGAGCTCATGGCTGGAGGAGATATGAAGAGTTTCCTTCGGCAGAATCGACCCAGGGTGGTGAGATAACTTCCCTGCTAGGCTTTTGACTGTTTTTATTACTGCTATTTTTTTTTTTTTTTAATGAATGAGATAAAGGCGCTGAAGCCAAGCAGGGCTGTCTCTGTGTCTCAGCTCCTACAAACTTCTGGACACATCTGTCTCTTTGCCTGGCTTGAGCAGATGTGAGGAAGAGAAAAAGAAAACAGAGCAAGAGCTCTGGTCTATTAGTGACTAAGGAGGAAAGAGAAAAATCCTGTCCATTCATTCCAGAGTTCTCTGTAACTGGAACACAAGCGTAGGGGTATTTTTCTCGCAATGTCTGCGTCACTTTCTGTGCACTGTGGTGGTATGTGAGGAGTTAAACACTGATAAGCAGTAATGGGAATTTGCTGCACCAGATCCTTAGGTATACATCAACATCACAGGCAGACACATAAATTTATACTAGCTGAAGAGTTGGGCCTGCATATAGCACTGTGGCAGGGATTTAAATCAATGTAAATGAAATTATCAAGTCAAATGTTGTGTTTAAAAAAAGCTTTTATTAAAAAAAATTTGTCATGAGGGTTTTTACAAAACAGATCTGATTTCTAATAATGCAATGACGATGACCAGGTACAGTGAATAATTGGAATGAATGATTTTCAATGTTCTTATTATTCTAGGTATGTGCTCTTGCATCTTAACAGTGTGTATGCTGGACACCTCTGTTAAATAAGCACATATATCTGCTTGAGCAGAAACTTCAAAAAAAAGAAGTGTTCAGCCTGGTTCTACATTAATTTTTTTTATATTGATATGCCTATCTTGGCTAGAGGCAGGCACAGAAGGAACAAAGAAGAGTGTAGGAGGGGACTGACTGGTACCTCGGGTACTACATCACATGACGCCGTTGCACAACCTCTCCATACACACATACACGCTCCCCCATACTTATGACAATATAGTTTCATGTGTGTATACTTTTATGCTGGTGCTAACTGCTGTTAAAAAGTCTAGCTTAATTCCTTCCTCTTACAGAAGTAAATATACCACTTAACAGTGATATAACAGCACCTATATGGAGGAATTTTTATATCTTCTAGCATTTATAATGAACGTAGTGCACTTTCTGTGGGCAGATAAAGTCTGTGGGATCAAGATGGGCAACAAAAAATAATATTCTTATTTGTACGTACTATATAGCGGTAATGTGAAGAACAGTTATTTTTTAAACATCATGTGAAAACAAACCCGCTACTAAGTATGTTAGCGGATAGTGAATAAAACAGTTGAATTTCACTTAGTGCCCAGAGAAATGTCCCTGTACACCTTTTTTGAAAACAGAAGTTGCCTAACAACTACAGAGAAAATGAATCCCTGCAGCCTTCTGGCAGCGGGATCCCGGAGCAGAGATAAGGTCTGCTGTCTGGGGTTCTGTTCCTCCTCCTTACTCTTCATTTCCTCTCTAGAAATGCCTACTTTATAACTATAATATTTCTCACTGGCAGATGTCCAAGAGCTTTGTACAATAACTTGCCTAGCCAATAAAAACGGGGCTCAGTAGCTGTAGTGCAAGTTACGTGGTTTGACCATGAGAAATTACAGACAGAGGCACCCAGAAACAAAAGCAGGTTTGACAAGAGAAATCAAATGAATTGCTCTTGGGCTTTTGATGAGCAATGTAGTAATTTTTCCCCATCCTTTCCCAGAGCAATGCAGAAGTTCCTGGAGAAGCACCGAGGAACTTTCCCTTTTTATGACTGCATGAAAATAAGCAGGGATCGTGGAGAAAGACTTCTTTATTTCTTCTTGTTAGGAAAGTGTAGAGTGTGAAGGGCTGGTACCACCTCAGAGGCCATAAAGAATCCTTTTTGTGCCTACTGCTCCTGAGGGTATTCTCTGCCCTTCCACAGCAGTGATAAGTTGATGAATGCTGAGTGCTGGTAAAGAGATGTGTACTTGCGCATCTTTCCCCTGTTCCCTCTCTTAGAGATCACGGGTATGTGTTTTAAGAAATTGTCTGACTTTTGTTGCAATTTGCTTAATTCAGTCTTTTAAAAGTTCTCTTTTTTTTCCTCACCCTTTAAACCTGCTTGTTTTTTTTTTTTTTATTTCACGAAGTCCAACACCACTGGGGAGCAGTTCTCTCCCACTCCCTTGTACCAGGGTATTCAGGCTAGGCCATAAATCTCTCACCAGCTCACACTCATGCGCTGTGCTCAGGAGAATCCGAAACTTCTGAAAGCTTTTGGCTTCAGTAAAAGCTCATTCTTTTTCTAATTCTTTACCTTGATCTGCCTGTGTTCCTCTTTGCTCCTTACTGACTAACCTTTCCCCCACCATGTATGTATGTTTCTCCCCTTCCCTTCTTTTGCACCTCTCTAATTATTCTCTGCCTAGACTATTCTCTTCTCCTTCTCCACTATTCTTCCCTTACCATTTTCTGTGTCCTTTTCCAGAATCAGCCATCCACACTAACAATGCAGGACCTGCTGAACATAGCTAGGGATATTGCCTGCAGTTTTAAATATCTGGAAGAGAATCATTTCATCCACAGGTGAGGAGAAACAGACCCTTCAGACCTATGTCCCCTGAAGGTGTGCTAACCTTACGCAGTTTCTATTTGCAGTGGATTGCCCAGAGCTAATCTTCAGGCAGAAGCCAGAGATTTCCTCCACCAATATAGGTTGTGCTTAGGTGCCCAGACTGATCTCGCTGGCTGCTGGTAGAGTTGTGTGCTGCTCCTTGCATCTTGGGGAGAAAGGAATCTTCCTGTTTGTAGTGAACGTTTTCACGTGTTAACTTTTGGGTGCCTACAAGGGAAATGCGCTTGAGATTATCCTTGTAGGCCACTAGATGGTAGTATCACTCTGTGTTAGTTTGTAAGACAAAGCAGTATGATTTCTCTTTCTTTTCTGATCTCCCTGTCTTGACTTACTGTCCCATCAGCACCGGAGAGCCCAAAACGTTTGAGCCACTGACTAGAGAAAGGGAGAACAGGGACATTAGGAGAGAAAACATAGCGTATGCATGGCCTGAACTCTAAGATTTTCTTCTCAACTCAGCAGCTGACCTGCTGTGTGATCTTCAGCAGCCTGTATTTATCTGTTCACACCTTTTACCTCATTTGTAGAGTAAGAAAATGTTGATATGGCAGGCTTAAAACATGAATAAAATAATATAGAAGAGGCAGAGGTTATTATAGGTAGCCTTTTAAAATTCTCAGCTGGATGTAGGAGTCCTTTGCTTCTGATTAGGAGTTCTTTCAGCTCATAATGTTCCCACACATAGCATGCCATTGAATTCCTTCCTGAGTATGAAAGTCCATGCTGAGCTCAGCTCTTGGCTGTAAAGGAGAGGAGAGGCCTGCATCCAAGAGGGACACATAGGCTCTGACTAAACCTACATACAGCCTGGAGTTATGCAAGGAGACAGCAGATGCACCCACACGCTCAAGCACATGTATATATATGCACATGACATCGCACAGAGCAAAGAGGCAGAGCTAGGCAAGAATGGGTAGAGATTGGAGGAACTGAGGGAAACAAGTGGCAAGCAGCAGCTGGAGAAAAAAAACATGAGATTGAGATATGGGTTGTGTTATGACTTTGTGATTATAACATCAGAGGCAGCAACCGAAGGATGAGCAATCTTTTGCTACATCTGCCACAGGCTTGAGATGTGGCCTCAGTTAAGTCTCATTCTCTCCTTGTTGCCCCAGTTCTTCCGCGCAGACTCAAATCGATATAAGAAGATAGTAAAGTACAGCAGATAAAGATTCAGAACCTTCAATAGGTGGTGGTTAGTAGTAACTAAATGAAGAAAAGTGCAGTGAAAAAAGATTGTGCATCTGGGTACAGAGGTAAACAGGTCACAGCAAGAGGCCTCTCTTCCTCCCTTCCTCTCATGTGAACCAGTGGAGCTGGCTGGATGCAGAGAGCAGCGTGTGCTGTGTGTGTGGGAAAGCCCTGCATGGCGGTCTGTCCAGCAGAAAACAGGAGCTCCGGGAAGTTTGTGGACTAGAGCTGAGTCGATTTCTTTTGCTAGCTGTTCCTATGATGGCATAGCTGTAAATCCTTCTCCTTTGCTAAAATCCGTGGAGTGTGACAAAGGTACATTGGAAAAGCCAGAGATGATCTGCTGCTGTTTTATAAATCCTAAGTGTAAGAGACTGAGAGACAAGATGCTTTTGAGAGCAGGGCATCCCCTATCTCCCTGACAGCTTAAGGCAAATCACATCTTTGCTTTGAGCATGGCCTCAGGAGTGGCTTTCCTAACTTCCCCCTGCACACATAGCCACAGCATCTATTGGGATAGCAGATCTTGTCAAAATTGGTTAAGTTTTTCATGAAAGGTCTCCATGCTTTCAATACGATCCCATTTTTGTTCTTAGCTCTGCTAAACTCCAAAATTATGTATATTTTGGCTTAGGGTGGCTTAGAGAACTTCATCTCTTTCCCCTCCCACCCGAACAGTGGATTATGGAGCTGGTTACAGGAACATGATCATTTGCTGGTAGGAACTCTGCAAGGGCAATATTTGTATGGTCGGTGAGGTCACACAGAAGTGCCTTCGCTATACCAAGGCCAGAATTAGGGCTTGAATTAGCAGTTAAGTTTAACTGCTGTTTCACTGGGATAGGCTTCCTATCCCAAGAGTAGAAAAGTTGTGGTAGAGTCTCCTCACCCTCGGAGAATTGCAAGAGGCTTGCGTGTTGACTGTAGGCAGAAAATTTTGCCACCTGTTAGCATGCAAGGAGAGCATCAGAGCATCTGTGTCTAAGGAGTGCCAGAGCTACCTCTCTCTCCCAAGCTGTTCTACCTCCCAGGCAGGCTCTCGCTCTTGACAGCTTTCTGGTACTGCAGGTTATGTATCTCCAGTGGCTCTAGCACACAGTTCATTCTAGGCAGTCGGTATTTGTCAGGGACCTCATATTCAGCAGCAGCAGCACACGCAGCACCAGATCAGGAGATCTATCCCTTATAGTGAAAGCCTCTTCAGAGCGCATTAGTTTGACGTATTTCTTTGGGAGCTATCCTGCTGACAGGTTTCCAAGTAAAGGCTGCTGGGCAGAGGGGGCCATTCGTCCCTCCTGAGAGTTGCAAGACCAGAGCAAGTGTCTGAAGGACATACGGCCTCAACTCTAGGCAGATGTCACCGTTGCTCTAAAGAGGATCGCTGCAGACTCTATCTTCATCCAGGAATTAACCCACTGAAGAATGATTGGAGGTGACCAGAGAAGGAAGAACAAAATTATTGTCCCATTGACAAGTATACGTCTTCACAGAAGGAAATGCAAAGAGGCAGAATTATCAACAGAGCTGTTAAAATATCAGAAAATGAAATGTTCAGTGTTAATTCTGCTTTATATGGGACAATAAATAAATTCCTTTGAGCAGGTGATTAGAGGCTTCTGTAGTAAAGAAGAGCAGTAAGAGTGTGCAGCAAATTTTATCTCTTGGATCTCCTAATAAGTACATGAGAGGATCGATACTTTAATTGGAAACATCAGACTTAATCACTACAGCATTATTTTCAAAAAATCTAGAATGTGTTAGTAATATCCTCCATCATTCCCTCACCACCACCCCAATCTGCTGAATTTATGATGAGGGACAATTTTTGTTTGTGCTACAAGAAGCTCAATAGAAATTAACAGAAAATTCCTCCACATGTGTTTTATCAGACCAGTTTTCATTTCTCCTGTCAATTAGAAGCTCCCTGATTTTTCTTTTCTTGGCACTGAGCCTAACAGTCATCACACAAAGCTGCTAACAATTATGCGAAGGAATGGACAGGCCAAATGTTATTGCTCGAGACCAGACTCCATTTCAGGAGAGAAATGGAAGATGCTTGACTTTAACAATAGCATGTCTCTGTGAAAAACTCTCTGGCGCAGCTCTTCCACTGTTAGATCTCTAGTATAAGCAACCTCGCAATGGGCTCATTTTGTGTTAGCCAGCAATTCCTTCCATACTGATTTACTGATTTTTGTTCAGGCCCTGTATTAGTATCTGTTAGTGAAATCCATATTAGAGTGAGTGTGTGTGGAAGCCAGGGAGAATGGCTGCCAGTAGAGGTAGCAGGTATCTGAGAGGGCAAGGCAGGGCAGTGGGGTGGCAGAGGTGTCACTAAGGGCAGGTCTTGTCACCTAGGAGTCACAGATAATGAAGGAAGAGAAAGCTCAGCTTGACTTACAAATCCTGAGGGAATTTTCAAGGCTGGCAGTGGAAAGAAATGTATGAGTTGTTTAAGGAGTTCATTTCTCTTGGCAGTCACCAGGGCTCCCGCAGTGCTATGATTTTTTTTTATGAGTTCCTCTTCAGAACATATTTAAAATAAATGCAAACCCTTCAGTCTTGGTCATGCAGTCATCGCTGCCATTTGTCACAAGCTAAACCTGCGTCCAGCAAATAGTTCCTCCCATATGTAGCTTTGTTTGGTTCCACGGGAGATAGCCAGAAGGAACACAGCAACAATTTGCTGAATTTGGCCCTACATTGACTTTTCAAGAAGTATAGTAAGACTGCCAAATAGCATCGCATTTGTCATTGACAGAGATAATGCTGAGCTACCATTAAAAACACCCCTTAAAAAAACGGACCAAAAAAGAAATGTGTGTCATAATGTGGTTGAAGCAAGAGGGGTTGGATCTGTCCCAGGTCTGACATCGATCCTGTTTTCTGCCTTTGTGAAGGAGATGGTAGTGGAGAATGCTTGGAGATCACTGCGTAAAAAGTGCGACATAAACGTACTTTATTAATTTTGGTTAATAAAATGATAATGTAGCTAGCATTGGTTTTTGTTTTTAATAACTATCTGTTCTTCATTTGTGTAAAGATAATTAAGACTCGTAGCACTGGGTGTAATATTCTTTCTCTATTTTTTTAGCTACTTAAGAGTTTAGAATTACTTTTTTTTTTTTTTTTAAAGGGACATAGCTGCAAGGAACTGCCTTTTGACCTGCATTGGGGCAGGACGAATAGCCAAAATTGGTGACTTTGGGATGGCCAGGGATATTTATAGGTAAGTGAAAGGGTATTTCTGTCCTGTGAATAACTCAGTAATCATAACTAAGTCATATATCAGTCTGAACAATATGAGCTCAGAAGCTGAGCACGAATCAGTGAAACTGTCCATTATGTGTCTGAATTTGATTACCAGTTAATTAACTGGAGTTAATAGAGTGTGAATTAAAACATTTGTGCCTACTAGCCAATACAGTTCAACTGTGTTTTTTTCCAGATTGGGCCCTAGAGAACACTGCAAACACGTGCGGACACTAAACCGAGCATAGATAAATTTATTGACTAGATGACCACCAATAATCTTAAGTTAAAAAAACCCTCCTAATTCTAAGTTCAGCATGTCAAGAAGACGTGCTGCATCAATGCCCTGTGCCAAGCATCAGCAGAGTCTGATTTCTGACTTTGTCTGAACGCCCTTAAGTCTCCATCCCAGTTGCGAACAGGGTATAAAATATTGCTCAGATGCACTTGTTGTTTTGATGCCTGTTTCCCTTTTGGCCCCCACTGCTGCATTCACTTTCCATTTGATGCAGTGGTATGAGTTTTTATACATCTGAGCCCTTTCAGGCTATGCCAGCAGCGCAGCCAACAGAGGCAGCGAACAGACGCAGCAGTTTGCGCAGCAGTTTGCGCAGAAGGGCACCAGAAGGCAAAGAAGGCACCTCTCCATTTTGCACAGTGGTGTGTCCTTCCCCGGGGCATGGTCATGACACACTGCAGAGCACATTCCCCAGTGGCTGCTGGAGGTGCTGCATCGGCTGTGTCTGAGGCTTCAACCCACACAGACCCTCGGACAGCAGACGCAGCTCTGCAGGTGTCAGGCTGCAGGGAGTGCCTGGGGCCTCTCTGGGAGGCCTGGGCTGACAGTCAGCTCTCCTGCATGAAGTGTGCTGTGGTTGACCAGTTGCGTCACCAGATAAAGGAGTTACGGGAGGAGGTTAGTAGGCTGCGTAGCCTCCGAGAGGATGAGCAGGAGATTGACAGGGCGTTCTCGGAGACTGTTCAGCTCCAGGAGTCCCCTGCCCCCACTGCAGCGGAGGTGTCAGAGGGCTCAGCACCGTGTGTAAAGGTGCATCATAACACTGTTGAAGAGGGCGGAAGCTGGTGACCTCTCGTAGAAGGAGAAAGGCTCTTGCTCCTCCTCAGGAGTTGCCTGTGAAGAACAAGTTCAGCGCCCTCCAAGCTGAGGAGGAGCTGGGCATGGCTCCAAGTGAGGCAAC